TCTAATTGCCCAAAGGCTGATAATCCCCAGAAAAATTCCTTTTGCTTCTTCTCAGAACCATCTTTGACCAACTAGTCCAGAAACTAGCTAAACAGTCTGGCCCACCTGCTGGGCTCTACAGCAACTCAGCAGCCCTCCTTCCTGAGGCCACGCACCCAGAGGCAGTCCCAAGCTCTGGCATTCTGATGAGCTCTGCACCCTGGTTCCTCTCCTGCCACTGAAGGAGACAGCGCCCAGGGCCATGCCAGTTGCTTACCACACAAGGAAAAATGAGAGACATAGGGGCTCCAATACAGGTTGCATTGATTTGGGACTTCAGCTCACTGGGGTCACTGGGCACACTGGAAAGAGGAACTGAGCCCCCACTCAGGCACTATTTGAGTTCCTTTAAGGAAACAGGGCATTGACTGCTAGGTGGGGGCTCTACTGAGTTTGGGTTACTAAATACTTTATATGGCCACCAAGCAGAGCTGCAGATCTGATATGCCAGGCAGAGAGTGAGCTGGAAGTCTCTCTCCACTTTTCCGCTAAGTTTCTAGATTTAATAGCCAATGAATTTGTCCCATAGAATTGCAACAAGCACTGGGCATCAGTCTGAAGTTATTAAAGCCCAAGTGCATCACTGAGGGATCCACATAGCTGCCCAATTAGCAATATATTCTCAAGTCTTACTGGGTCAAGTCACAGTTATCCTCTGGATTTTTCTAATCCAGCTTCAAATTAATCCTCCCAAGTCTGTCTCTTTCAACCATTAATTAAGCAAAATTGCTGGTGAGCAATAACCTGCCACAACTCTAGCTGGTTTTTGTGCAGTTGCTATTAAACATGGGTGAGAAGCAGTCTACATATGAGGCAAAGCCCTTTAGCTACAGTAGATCTAGTGATAGGAGGGCTCACATATTTTATTGAGAAATTTCTTACCAAAAGAATACAACTTTCTCACTTCCCCTTCAAAATACTGAAGAAAAGTAACTTTCAGGTATGTTCTGAAATAAAGGCAGATTTAACTGCTCTTACACACAATGGAATCATGCTCTTTATTGTTAAGTCATTCATCTGGCAAAACAGAAACATGATTTAGACTTTTTCTGAACCTGTTAACCTTTGGGAAGTGAATTAAAGCTGGGAAAGGTGCTGAGTTAACTGCTATTTAATCAAGGACCACAGACTGATGTCTGTGCTGGAACCTTGCAGTGGGCTGGGCGCCTGCCAGGGGGACTAAAAACATAGTAAAATGACCTTGCCGTGCATCAAACACTCCTCTGAAATTCAGAGAGCACCCATCCACAAAATGGTGTTTCTCCAGGAATAACTGGAGAAGTGGTAGCAATAGTAGCAACAGAAGTATTAGTAATAAATACTAACACATTTAAGTACTTACTTTGTATCAGGCATTGCTCTCAATACATTACATGTGTTAACTCATCTCATGGACATCATCAAAATTCCTGCTCATTTAAGTTGAAACTCCTATCCAGTTGCTGATATTGCCAAGGATTTAACCTCCTCTAGAGGTAGGCAATGTAACATAGGCTGTCACACAGAGTCCGCCGGGGTCTTGAACATGTGACCACAAACAGACCCAGCGGTGTGTATACCCTTGAGCTCTACCCCTCTCATTTACCCAAAGTCTCCAGCTCAAAATGGTGTCAGGATGTTTTTCCAGAGGAAAAGAATGAAAACTGCAACTCTATATACACAATTCACTTTTACCTACTGAAGAAATACCAAGCGATTGAGGCTCTTCTTGCATGGTCAAGAAGGAGGGGGTGTCTTTCCACAAAACCCATACCAAATGTGTAGCTGGTGTGTGGATACATACAGTCTCCAGGCATTTTAAAGGCACATTCATCATATACTGTTGGTAGGGAGTAAAAGACTTCTTTTACAAATGAGTGTTGCATCTGTTCCTGGCTTATATTTTAATATTTACAACAAAGATCAGCATTGGTTACACATATCTGAAAATTGAAGTTAAAAGGGGTGACTGTTCAGAAATTAGAATGTAATTTATACTATATACAGGAATACCATTATGAATTTTCCCTTGAATTTGATGTGATTTTTAAAAAAGATACCAGGCAATGTGTTTTGTACTAATTGCATGAAGGATTGAAGTGGTCAGCCTGGAGGTCATGGAGCTCATTGTCTTATAGTTGCCAAATCAAGTCGCAGTTTACGCCGGCCACAGCAGGATTTCAGGAAAAATGCACGCCTGACTATGAGCGATCCCATTTCCTCCCTCAATTTTCACAGCTGGCCGACTGCTTCGAGTTGGTGCAACCCACTGGCCAAACTGCAGGCCAGGGGCACAAACCTTCCTTACCCAATTCCCCTTCATTTTCTGACTCCAGTATCACAGCCGACTTTAAACAGCGGCTTTACTGCCCCCACCCGCTATTCTTGTATGCTTTTAAAATAAATGGCAGAAATAGTGAAAGCAAACGAATGAGAGTCATGTGCTGGCATCCTTTACTTGGTTCCCATATTTGAGCATAAAAAGGAAAATAAAACATGCTAAGTAAACAGTATAATTATTAAATGTTTCACTTTTTGTTTCATTTGGTTTTCTTTTTTTTTTGTGGGGGGGGGGGCTGTCAGCAGTAGCTCACCCAACACATTTGACGCCCTGAACAGATAATGACTTCATACTCCCTTCTCTATGCGACAAAATTATTTCCAATGGACTACATAATAATGGTGGGGGAGAAAAAGAGACAATGAGAACTTCCTTTTTACTGAAGTTGATACATGTACATATAATCACTCCAAGTAAAATAAATATGATAGAAAAGAAAAAGCACTGGATTCTTAATTGCACTAATGCATTTTTTTTAAAAAGTGGGGTAAACTTGTACTTACATAGTGGCCTAACACCTCAATGAATTACACTGCAATGTCTACTTTCAATCCTTAACTTCTGCATATTTATCAAAATTAACATTCTTTGCATATTCCTTTTCAATAGACATATAACAAGATTCGTTGTGTCTCTTTACCCATAGTTGACTGAAACACACTTTAAATTTTAATTCTGAAAAGTTTTTTTTTCACATGAATGAAGAGACAAATAATTGTTAGGAAAAGTCTTACATATAAGGATAAGTTTGTCAGATAGCTATGAAGATCACATTTCATGATAAATTCCAGAAATTGAAATATTGTCTTTGGTTCTTTCAGATTGATTCTAATGGCTTCAAATGTCTCCACAGTTGAAGAATTCCACTAAGATATCTTTACCAGAAAATTCGCCGAAAGTATGTATTATATTGAGTGAAAATGTGCAAAAGAACCTAAAGAAAATGGCTGGTAACAAACACTGAGAATGTTTAACCCATTGCTCTAGGAAACAAGTCCAGTTCTTGGTGGAATCACTACAACCAGGCACACGCCCAGTGGCCCCCTCTGCCGACACAGGCTGGCAGGCTTCATCCTTTTCCCTGATATTCTGTCTTGAAATCTCTCTTTTTGTGTGTAAATGCCCATTTACTTATTATAGTTTAGTCACAGTTAATGGCTTTCCCCACAATTTCTGTGTACTGATCTTCAAGAAACAATTTTAAAGCTTGAGTTTCAGTATGTTAATTTTAGGGTTGATTCTACATATGTTAATTTTAGGGTTGATTCTATTTGTAAATATTTTTCTCTCTAATTTACTTTATTTAAATTTTCACATTAGAAAAAAAGATGGTTCAAAAAAGGAATTACAGGCAATGGAGAACAAAACTGGGGCTGCCTCTTAGGCTCACGGTGACTTTCAGATCACAGTGCCCTTTAAGGTGGAGGCAGATGAGTTCTCTACATCTGTCTTCAGTCCACGCAGAGCTTCGAATGAGCACACCTTATCTCAGGGGGGCCTTGCCACGGTTAGACCCACATTCTACAGCATTTCACCTACAGTGTGTGACTGAGTCATACACATTCTCGCTCATCAAAATGCATTCATTGTACTCCAGCCAACTCCAGTCTAACATTTTCACATTAAAAGTATACTTTTAAAAATAAAAATTGTCCTAAGAACAACACATTTGAACCTCTAATCATGAAAATTTAATGGTTGTCAGAAGCGGTATCTGAATTTCCATGAAATGTCAACCAACCACATTTAAAAAGAAAAATATTAGCATTAAATAATGAGAGCCTAGAAGAATTGATTTAATGTCAGTATAACACACACTGCTTTTAACAGTGTTTCAGTTAATGTTCCTTTCCAAGTAGGGAAAACTTTTCATATCCATTCAAATATTGCAAATATATTTGAATTATCTCAATGTTCAATTTTGATGGGAACAAGTCACTGTGATTTGTTATACCCACACTAGGCAAACTGCATCATCTGAGTGACTCAGAAGGGCTAATCTTTGTGGCTCACGGAACAGGAGGGAAACCAGAGCTGACCAGAGCTTGGCAAGTGGGAAGTCTACGAGGCAGTCAGCACATGACCCAGAGCATTCACCTCACCAGAACTGTAATACGTTCAGCTCTGGTTCTGTGTTGATCTAGTCAAAATTGTCCAAATTCATGAATGCTCACCTTATGTTTGAACCTTTAAAATATTTATCATTAATAACTCAGAAGAAAAACAGAGAACCTTAGAAGACCAAAAATGATCCTAGTTTCTACCTTAGCTACAATTTAGAGAAAAAGTGGAAATATATAATAGAGGGAAAATACACATCATTTATAAAGTTGGTATCAGTGACAGTAGTTACATTTACATAGGACTCAGTGAATGGATTAACTCATACTGCCCATTTAACAGACTGAGGCACAGAGATGTTATGTGCCTTTTCCAAGGGCACCAACCACATGTGAGAGCATGTCACATATCAAATGCATATGTTTCAAACACATACCTCTTCTTTTAATTATTATGCTATCTCTCCAAGAAACTGTAGCTCTTAAGTTACAGACTCCAGACTCTGGAGCTTTCTCCTCGTCTATGCCACAGTGCCCCTCAAGCACATACTAAAGCTGAATGGAAGTTTCCATCACCAAACACACAAAAAAAGATAATCTTTATTATAAAGTCTGTGTAAATCAGAATAAATAAGTACTGTAATCAAAAAACAGATAAATGGTAAAACATTAAGTCCCCAGTCATGTCAAAACACAATTCCAGACCAAATAACATTAAAGTACAAGAAGTACAGTGATCGAAGAATTTAGTTTAAATTTACTAACATGCATGTCCTTTCCAATATTTCATTTTACCAGTTTAGCTGATTAAAGGTGAAACTGAAGTATAATCTACTCAGCAATTACATTTTAGAAAAATTCAATAAAAGCCAAGTCATGTCCAGTGAAATAAATCCATGGAGTAAAGAAATAGGGTCCTGCACTGACTAAGAAAGATGTACACCTTAGAAGTCCCAGGTGGCTGGAGATCGCCATGTTGCCAGCGGGGAATCTGAGGTCAAAGAATAGTTGAGCAATGTACTTGGGAGCAGGAGGTCCCCCAGTTTAAGACTCATTAAAAGTTACCGCTTCTTTTTCATGTTTCAAGTTTTAAATTCATAGTCACAATCTGGTCTGGGTAAAGAAACACAATATCCTTTAATTTTTCCTATGTAAACATAACTTGTTCATAAGTATCTCAATCCAGGCCTGGTAACCACACTGTTTTTACATACAACACTACTGACACCAAATATGTGGGTATTTTCTTATTATATTGAGGTGCATTCCTTCTATATCCAATTTGTTCAGAGTTTTTATGATAAAAAGATGTTCAATTTGGCAAAACTGTAAGACACTGATGAAAGAAACTGAGACACAAATCGATGGAAAAATACTCCATGTTCATGGATTGGAAGAATTAATATTGTTAAAATGTCCACACAACCTAAAATGACCTACAGGTTCAGTGAAATCTCCATCAAAATTCCACTGGCATTTTTCACAGAAATTGAAAAAATAATCCCAAAATCTGTATGGAACCACAAAAGATCCCAAATAGCCAAAGCAACCTTGAAAAGAACAAAATTGGAGATATCACACTTCAGATTTCAAGCTATACAAGCTATATTACAAAGCTAGTTATCAAAACAGTATGGTACCAGTATAAAAACAGACACATAGAGCAATGGAACAGAACTGAAAGCCCCAAAATAAACCTTCACATATATAGTCAAGTAATCTTTAACTGAAGAACACACAACAGGGAAAAGATAATCTCTTCAATAAATGGTTATGGGGAAACTGGATATTCACATGCAGAACAATGAAACTAGGTACCTGTCTTTTACCATTCACAAAAATTAACTCTAAATGAATTGAAGACTTAAATGTAAAACCAGAAACCATAAAACTCCTAGAAGAACACATAGGGAAAAAGCTCCTTGGCAGTGTTCTTGGTAATGATTCTTTCGGATATGAAACCAAAAGCACAGGCAACAAAAGCAAAAGTGGGACCACATCAAACCCAAAATGCTCTGCACAGCAAAGGAAAGCAACAAAATGAAAACAGCAGTTTATGGTATGGGAAAGAATATTTGCAAACCATGTATCTGATAAGGAGTTCATATCCAAAACATAAAAGGAGCCCATTCAACTCAATTGTAAAAAAAAACAAAGCAAAAACCACAAGTAATCTGATTTTAAAATGGGTGAGGGACCTGAATAGTCATTTTTCTAAAGAAAACATGAGAAGGTGCTCAAAAGCACTAATCATCAGCACTTTTATCAAAGAGACAAGATAACAAGGGAGGATGTGGAGAAAGGGAACCCTTGTGCTCTGTTGCTGGAAACGTAAATTAGTGCAGCCACTATGAAGACAGTATGGAGGTTCTTCAAAAAAAATAAAAATAGAACTATGATATGATCCAGCAATCTCACTTCTAGGTATATATCTGAAGAAAATGAAATCACTATACTGAAGAGACACCTGCACTCCCAGTTCATTACAGCATTATTCATAACAGCCAAGGTCTAAGTGTCCATCAGTGGATGAATGGATAAAGATGTGGTATATACTGAATTAAGCAAGGAAGCCATTAGGCTGGTATGGCTTTAATGCCTCACTAGTCTATGTAAGCAAACCAAAACCTAGCCTGTAATCCTTCAAGTTTAAGAAATCAAAACCTACAGACAACCAATCACATGGCTAATTATTAGGCTTTCTCAAAAAATGCAACCACTTAAGCCACAGCCAATCAAATAATGTCCTTGCTTTGCTTCCCTACCTTCTCTATGAAAGTTTTTGCCCTAGCTCCTATAGGCGGAGTGCTCCTAAAAACTTCTGGTCTGGTGCTGCCTGATTTGAATTGACTTTTGCTTTAAATTTGTAATAAGATTCAGTTTATTTTTAACAATACATAAAATGGAGTATTATCCTGCCTAGAGAAAGAAGGAAATCCTGCCATTTGCAACAATATGGATGAACATAAAGGACATTATGCTAAATGAATAAGCCCAACAGAGACAAATTCTGTATGATCTCACTTATATGTGGATCTTAAAAAAAAGTCTCACAGAAATAGAGTAGAAAGGTGATTATCAGGGACTGGAGGGGTGGGAGAAATGGGGAGATGCTGGTTAAGATACAAGCCTTCACTTAGATGATACATAAGTTCTGGGGATCTAATGTTGAGCATGGTGATTATCATTAATATGGTATTATATACTTGAAATTCACTGAGAGTAAATCTCAGGCAGCATGCATGTGCACACACACTCACAAGTGAACTGTGAGGTGGTATTTGTGTTAATTAGCTTGTGGTAATCACTTCACAAAGTATGCGTATATCAAATCATCACTTTGTACATTTAAATATGTCCAGTTTTATTTGATTATACCACAATAAAACTAGAAAAACCTTGAACAATTAGTTTTTGCTTTCCTGGTTTTCTCTATTGTATATTATTTTCTACTTCACTGAATTGCTTTCTCAACTTTACTTGTCCATATTCTTCGAGTTTAATTTACTGGTCCTTTCTTAACTCCCCAGTATTGGAGCTTAGGTCATTGCCTTTGAAGCTTTTATTTTGTAAGAATTCAGACCCATAAATTTTCCCTCAGAGCCCTGATTGACTGCATATTACAAATTTTGGCATGTTTTTTTCTTCATAAAAATATTTTCTAATTTGACATGTGATTTTGACATGGGTTATTTTGTTTATTGCTAGTTTTCCAAATATTTAGGAATTATTCTAGTTTTAGTTATTGACTTTGGTTTAATTCTCAGAAAACCTATGGTATGGTTTTTATCTTTTTGAAAATTATTGTTAAATATTCAATTTAAACTAGAAGTTCTATTCTGAAGTTATTAGTGTCAGTGTTCTATATATGACAACTAGGTTCCTTTAATGATGTTAATTAGTAGTTTAAAATTGCTTAAATGCTTATTATTTTGTCTGCTTGCTTTTTAAGAGTCAAACTCTTAAAAATTCTGATTTGGGATTTGGCTTAAGATTTTTGCTTTACATATTTTGAAGCTTTATTAAGTACATGTATAATTAGGACTTTCATGTCTTCTTCATCAGCTGACTCTCATCACTATGAAAACAACTTATTTCTTGCTTTAGGTCTCTCCTTTAAATATTAATTTAACTACATTTGCTTTCTGTTTGCATGGTATGTCCTTTTCCAAATTTACAAACCAAATGTTTAAACATATGGGTGGGTTTGTATAATAAACTTTTACTTGGATTAATTATATTTAATATAATTTCTGAATTCTTTGGGCAGGATGTTCTTGATGTGTCTAGAGTGGTCACTATAAATAAACCTAGAATGCACGGATTTATGGGCTTGGCTTTCTAGAAAATGTTACACTGGCTGTGTAATTTTGGGCATATAAAATGGGGCCATTCCATGACCAAAACAACTCCTTTTGTGTAAGATACCCCACTTGCAACACATGCATTATGTTAAATGTGTCAGAGAGCCTAATGCAACTAGGAGAACCTGGGGTAGTATGGGCAGTCCTTGACTTCTCCACGCTGCACCCTTGATATCATTTAACATTAGAATTGGTTAAGATTGCTGACTTGTGTGAGTCTAATGTGATGATCTGACCTTTGTATGGTGAGCTAAGTGGTTTTGCTGCTTCAATCTTAGGCCCCTTCAATTCAGCCCCAGCCACAACAGCCAGAGAATGTAAACTGTTCATATTACTCTACAAATGCCTTTCTACTCACTCAAGTAGGTCGAAATCCACAGTAGCCTTGAGGCAATGTGTCATCAGACCTCCCAAATTCTTTCCTGTTCCTCTCACCTACCACTGCCCTACCCCAGGCCCTTTGTGCTGACTGTCCTCTCTGCCTGAAAATGTCCTCAACAGCAGTCTCCATTGTCTTGTTCAAGTCTTCCCCTTCTCGGTGAGGCTTTCCCAGACTACTCTGAGATTGCCTATCCCCTCCAACACTGCACAGCAAATCCCCTTATGCTTGGTTTGTCTTTCTCTACAGCCTGTATCACCTTCTCAGACACCATATAATTGGTATTTACTTATTAGCTCATGTCTCTCCTCAATGTAAGAATCTAAGCTCCCAGAGAACAGAGGGGTTTTATCTATTTTGCTCACTGCTGTATCCACAGAACATTGAACAGTACCTGGCAGAATAGACAGGTACCTGTGAAATGGATGAGCAAAATTTCCTTCTAGGTATTGTTCTGGCTGGATCCCATGTGTACAGTTAGTACTTTAAAAGAAACCAATCCTAAATACTCTGTAATCCATCTGTTTCCTTCCTTATGCCATTTGCACATATTTAAAATTCATTATAGCCTCTGTGGGTTACTTTTAAATTCTATTAGGGTCTGAGAACAATGCCTTATTTTAATGCAATTTGTTTTCCTTTATAGCCTACTTCGTGATCAATTTGAAAATATGTTTCAAATATTTTTGGAACCAATGTGGTGCCCAGTTTCTTGGATGCAGCACAGATACCTGGTCTACTTGTGAGGGTCAAATTCTCATACTTTATTTTCTGATAGTAAACAGACTAGTGTATCACTATAATGGTGTAATTCAGTTTAGAATACTTCTGCACAGATACATAGGTGCATCAACAGAAAGAATTTTCTGGGTTCAGTTAGCATTCTAATGAGAACACCTTGTTGCAGACAGCTAGCCCAAGCTCTTCTGTTAATGTCTTCACTGTTCAACACTATGCTACTAACATAATGCATCCAACAGTGGCTTGTTAGAATAACTGAAGTTAAAACTAGTGGTAATCAAAATAGGAAGTTTGGATAAAATAATTCAGAGATACTACCCTACTACCCACCCCCACAGGAACAAAGTCAAAGGCTTTATCCAGCAAGGCCCTTGGGGTAGTGCCTGAGGCTAAACCCTAAAATCACACTGCATGCAGCCGCTTGGTAGGAGGGCAGCACATGGTGGTAAGAGGAACAAAATCCTGCCCCTGGAATCCACATGAATGCTTTGAATACACTCTTTATGCAACATTCCACGGGGCTACCTGGAAAGACAGCGCAGGAGCTTCCAGAGTTTACAGAACAGGCTGTAGGCATTGTCTTGTGCCTGACTGCTGATACACTGTTTAATAAATCTGTGTTGTTAACATTTGGGCTGCAATCTATTTCCACTATCACATGCAGGCAAGACTGAGGGAGCAGCTGGTTAACACTCACGTACTGTGTGCACAAACATATGGATCAGGTCAGGAGCCAGTACCCACTATGATTGAAGACAAGCCAGTTTCTCTTCATCGATCAGTTTTGGGGCACGTATTTATACAGACAGTATTGACAGGTGGACACAGTTGATTATTATATCTTCTAGTTAAAGTTAACAAGGAAGAATACTGTTCTCTGTCCCTTTTAATGTTTTTACCTTAAGTCTATTTTGGTTGATATATACAAAATATCCATGTAATTATATATTAACTGAGCATTTGCCTGACATATTTTCTTATGCCTCTTTTAGATTTGTTCCTACTGTGTAATGAAATTAGAGAATGTAATAAATAGCCATAAAGCCTGATCTTTAGATTATATTTCCTTCAGATCTTAATTTTTTTAATGACCAGAAAGAAAGCCTTTGACAGGTTGAGATTTTTTTAAATGCCAATCTCTTGAATTAAAAAAGCCAACATAGCCTAGGAGAAAAATTAAACCCCTTTAAAAGTTTGTCAAAATAGGAAATAAAGTGTGGAAGAGAACTTGTCGCTGGAAATTGTCTTAGTCTGTTTGGGCTGTGCAAACAAAATACAGACACTGGTGGCTTATACAACAAAAATTCACTCCTCACAGTTCTGGAAGCTGCAAGTCCACGACCAGGATGCCGGTGAGGTCAGGTTGTGGTGGGAGCCCTTCTGTAGCTGCAGACTGCGGACTCCTGCCGGTGTCCTCACAGGCAAGAGCCGAGGAGCTCTGTGGGGTCTTTTTCACGTAAGTATAAGGCACTGATCTCATTCCTGAGGTCTCCACCTTCATGACTTGAGCACTTCCTAAAGGCCCACCTCCTGATACTGTCACTTTAGGGGTTAGTATTTGAACATATGAACTTTGAGGGACATAAATATGCAGACCATAGGACAAATTTTAAAAATAAGGATATTAAGTAGGTATTTTAAGCCTAGGATACAGCTTGAGTGGTATTATGGAGGTAAGATAAAATACATACAAAATTGAAAATATCACCAAAGGAACAGAAATGAAAAGTTTGGTGGTGGGGAGGGAAAAAAAGGTTGCAGCTATACCAAAATATGTATTTGCTTTCATCTGTATAATTGAATGCAAATCTCCCTAAATTCTAGAATCATGATTATTAAAAAGATGTGTGGTAATAAGTCATATACTGGGATGGAATTTCAAAATATATTTCACATTTCCAGCATAATTTTTTTTAAATCCATATAAGCATTACCTTGAAATGTTTTTTTTTTAGCAGAAATACAGTTTTGGTAATAAATAATCACTTGATAAAGCTATACAGATCTTCCCTGACTTACAATGGCAATACATCCTGAAAAACTCAGAAGATGAAAATATAGTTGGAAATGCATTTGATGCATCTGCCAAACCAGAGCTTAGCCTCACCTTAATCATGCTCATAACTTAAATTAACCTGCAGCTGGGCAAAATCATATAGTAAAGCCTCTTTTCCAGTAAAATGTTGACTAGCTCATGGAATTTACTGAATACCGTAGTGAAAGTGAAAACTAAATGGCTGCACTGACAGATGGTAGTCAGTGTATCGGTCGTTGACCCTCAGGACCCCCCGGCTTGCTGACGCTGCCCAGCAGCATGATTATCACACTGTATGTTACTCGTTGGGAAAAGATCAAAATTCAAAATTTAAGTACAGTGCCTACTGAACGCACATCACTTTCACATCATGTCAAGTCAAAATTCTCCAAGTGGAGCCATCATAGGTCAGGGAGCATCTGTACACATACACCTGTAGTGGGATGTGCCATACATGCACTTTAGTATGTTAACAAGACTATTCCTTATGGTATCTGTCATAAAAAAGATAAATTATTTTACATTAGTTTAAAAACTAGTAACATAAGTTTACAAGTTCTTGTAACTACCTGGCAGAGGCTCCTGCCCATACCCCACAGGGCAAGCACAAGTCTCTCAGGGGAGCCGATCTATGGCAAGTAGACAGATTCCCTGTGAACAGGCTGAGGTATCCGTGAAGCTCCCTGACATGTGAAGGCGGCCAAGGGGCGGGGTGCCGGTGGAGCAGTGAGGCTGCCCCCCAGATCAGGAGGTCTGGGGAGGGGCAGCGCAGATATGGAAACCAAATCTATGTTTGCTGTGGTGATAAATGACCCACTTTCTTCCGACTTCCTCTAAGAAGTGTTAAAAAAAATTTTTTTTAATTTGAAAAACTGAAGTCTTAACTAGGTGAAACTGTGTTTCAGTACTTGAGCCAAGAAAGCTTCATTCTCTTCCTTTATTTTCTGGCTTTATGACCAAATATCCTGGAGATACCGTTTTTCTTCTTTTAACGTAGCCAATGTTTTCATTGCTTCTAATCTGTCAACACCAACCTCTTTGCTTATAATTCTCACAAGGGCATCATTTACATCCTTGGCCATATTCTTAGCATCTCTAGAGATAAGAATAATAGCATCAGTGGTCAGGAAACAAGAACTTTCACCAAAACCTCCTTCATTCATGAATCTCCTTCCCACTGCTCCACCATCCCCACACCCGGTCCTCCCTCGGTTTCTCTGGAAAGCGCTCCACCCTCTCCCAGGCCCAGGCATCTATCACTGCCCTGCCTCCTGGCCCCCATCTCGGACCGTTCTGATACATGAAGCTGACCACACTGTTTACAGCTGAACATCCAACAAAGGCACCACCCACGTGCCAGGCATCAGGTGACTCAGGACCTCATGATTCTGCCTCTCCCCCGCACTCCCCTCCCTCCATTCCCCAGGCAGACAGTGGGGCGTGGCACCCCAGGCAGCAGCTCTCCCCTGTTTGAGCCCTCACATGTGTGTGTGCACACACCCTATTCTCAACAGGCCCCCTTACTGAGAACTCACGGGGTGCAGGGCCCTCTCCTAAGTGCTTTCACACGTCTCAGCTCTTTTCGCAACAGAACAGTGAGGTGCCCCTCTGTGTGTTGTCCCCTCCATAGAACCTGCTAGGCTATAAAAATCTGCTGATCTGGCGTTCCCAGCAGGAAGTGAGCTGTTTGGGGGCCGGGAGCGCACCTCGTTTATTCTCACATCTCCCACATCTGAAGCATGTCAACAGGACCTGAACCTGGCCTGCCCCTTACAGTGAAATCTCCTGAATGAGCTGTCCATTTGGCCATCTGGGCACCCTAACATGCTCCCCCTCACCACTCCAACAGGCCTCTGTCCCCATGGCCCAGGCCCATGTCACTCACCAGGGGCTGCTGGCTGCCTACTGTTCCCACCCTCTCCTCTTACTCGACTCTTAGCATTGCCAGGCTCCCCCTTGGAACAGTGTCCCCTGGGCTTAAGGACAAGTCTGCTCCTTCCAGTCTCCTTCATTTGGCCCAATGGGCTGTGGGGCTGGCCCACTGTGACATGGCTACTGGTTTCACCCTGAGCCCTTGCTACTGACCAATGTTATGAACACTATCAACTCCACCTCACGAGTCTGAAAAGTCATTGTGAAAAGCAATTTCTGGGGTAATGCTTTAAGATTTCCTCCAAGTTCTCAATTACCAGCTATTTGCATATGAGTATACTGACTTTGCCTCACTTATTGACACAGGTCCATCTAAAACCTCAGCCTACGTTTGACCACACAGCACTGTCCTGTACAAACAAAACGAAGGTCAGATCTTTCATAAAAAGCAACATGGAAACACAGACCAACACAATATTAAGAATCTCTGCCCTGCACAACCTAAAGCAACGTCTTTCAGCTGAGAGTCAAAATCCATTAATGGGCCATGAAATCAAGTTAGTAGCCAATGCAAGCTTTATTTAAAAAAACAATTAACAAGTTATCAGAATGCGCTGTAAAGAGTAGAAAAGTAAGTTTTGTTTTAGAAGACTTGTTTTATATATAATTACACATATTCTAGGTCACTATGCCAGTATTTCTTCTTCTATATCACAGTTTTTAAAAAAAAGAAACTGATTTGGTAACTTAGAGAATGTTTTTAAAAAGACTAATTTCTTCAAAACTCCTTTTTTAATTAGCAAAATATTTCTGAGTTTCATTAAAACAAGTAGGCAAGTTTCTAAAAGTTTTATTTCCTATGGCAGTACTGGGTTTCTGTAACAAATCCTGAATCAGAAAGTAAATAAAACTTAACATAAGAATGACTTCTAACTTGACATGTCAACTTTGACATCACAAATTATGCCTTGAAGCAAAAGGAACCTTAGATCTACTTTCTCAAAGTCAAAACCATAGTTTTCTTCCTTAGCTAGATCAACTGTACAAATCGCCTATCTTGAGTACAACAAAATCAGTCCTGAGATTTCAAGTTAAATGATTAGCATCTGAATACAGAATGTAATTTTTAGAAGCCAAAAACATGTATTTTAGATGTCACAAAGCATTCTGGGTGGTAGGAAGTAATTTTCACCACTATTTCCCTTCGACAAGTTCTTTGCCATCCAACGTACATTAACATCAACTTAGAACATGTATTGCTATTCCTGTACTTAAGAATCAATTCTCTTAAGAAACCCTAAAGAATCCACTCCAAAACTACTAGATCTAATATCTGAATTCAGCACATTTGCAGGATACAAAATTAATACACAAAAATCTGTTGCATTCCTATACAGTAACAACGAAATAACAGAAAGAGAAATCAGAAAAACAATTCCATTCACAATTGCATCAAAAAGAATAAAATACCTAGGAATAAACCTAACCAAGGAAGTGAAAAACCTACACTCTGAAAACTACATGACACTCATGAGAAAAATTAAAGAAGATACCAATAAATGGAAACACATCCTGTGTTCATGGATAGGAAGAATTAATATTGTCAAAATGGATATCATGCCTAAAGCAATCTACAGATTCAATGCAATCCCTATCAAAATACCAACAGCACTCAACGAACTAGAAAAAATAGTTCTAAAATTCATATGGAACCACTGAAAAGACCCTGAATAGCCAAAGCAATCCTGAGAAGGAAGAATAAAGCAGGGGGGAATTATGCTCCCCAACTTAAAGTTCTACTACAAAGGCACAGTAATCAGACAATTTGGTACTGGCACAAGAACACCCATAGACCAATGGAACAGACTAGAGAGCCCTGATATAAACCCAAGCATATATGGTCAATTAATATATGATAAAGGAGCCATGGACATACAATAGGGAAATGACAGCCTCTTCAACAGCTGGTGTTGGCAAGAAGATGCCAACGCAAGAAGCTACACGCAAGAAGATGAAACTGGATTATTGTCTAACCCCATGCACAAAGGCAAACTCGAAATGGATCAAAGACCTGAATGTAAGTCATGAAACCATAAAACTCTCAGAAGAAAACATAGGCAAAAATCTCTTAAATCTAAACATGAGCAACCTTTTCCTGAAAGGATCTCCTCGGACAAGGAAAACAAAAGCAAAAATGAACAAATGGGACTGCATCAAGCTAAAAACCTTCTGTAGAGCAAAGGACACCATCAGCAGAATAAAAAGGCATCCTACAGTATGGGAGAATATATTTGTAAATGACATATACAACAAGGGGTTAACATCTAAAATAGAACTCACACACCTCAACACCCAAAAAGCAAATAACCCCATTAAAAAATGTGGAGGATATGAACAGATAATTCTCCAAAGAAGAAATTCAGATGGCCAACAGGCACATGAAAAGATGCTCCACATCGCTAATTATGAGGGAAATACAAATTAAAACCACAGTGAGATATCATTTCACACCAGTAAGGATGGCCAACATTGAAAAGACTAAGAACAACAAATGCTGGTGAGGATGTGGAGAAAGGGGAGCCCTCCTACACTGCTGGTGGGAATGTAAATTAGCTCAACCACTATGGAAAGCAATATGGAGGTGCCTCAAAAAACTCAAAATAGAAATACCATTTGGCCCAGGAGTTCTACTCCTGGAATATACCCAAAGAAGACAAATTCTCAGATTCAAAGACATATGCACCCCTATGTTTATCGCAGCACTTTTTACAATAGCCAAAACTTGGAAGCAACCTAAGTGTCCATTAGTTGGATGAAAGGATAAAAAAGATGTGGTACATACACAGTGAAATACTATTCAGCCATAAGAAAGAAACAAATCCTACAGCAGTTGCAACAACATGGATGGAGCTAGAGGGTATTATGCTCAGTGAAATAAGCCAGGCAGAGAAAGACAAATACCAAATGATCTCCCTCATTTGTGGAGTGTAGGAACGAAGCAAAATTGAAGGAACAAAACAGCAGGAGACTCACAGACTCCAAGAAGGGACTGGAGGTTACCAAAGGGGAGGGGTGGGGGAGGGTGGGTGAGGAGGGAGGGAGAAGGGGATTGAGGGGTATCATGATTGGTGCACATGGTGTGGGGGAGGTCACAGGGAAGACAGTGTAGCTCAGAGAAGACAAGTGGTGACTCTATAGCATCTTACTACACTGATGGACAGTAACTGCAATGGGGTATGAGGGGAACTTGATAATATGGGAGAATGTAGTAACCAGACTTTTTCTTGTGAAACCTTGATAAGAGTGTGTATCAATGATACTTTAATAAAAAAAGAATCTACTCTTCCATCCCTACATATCTGGATTAGTAACCCACCAATCCTGCTCCTCCAATAAACACCAGCACCTGCCTTCCCCTCTGTGGCACTTACCCACACATGTAGATACAGCCGTTCTCATGAAGAAGGACCCTTGTGACCTGTGTGCTGTGGTGCTCAATGCTGTCCTGCACATACTTTGCTGGGGCTTCCTCCTCCCCCACAGGAGCATCTCTTGAGAAGGAGACCTTCAAGTGAGTTAGGATTCCACGCTTATGGAAATGTCTGAGCTCTTCTCTGAAATACAACATAAAATGGGTCACTGGAAGGTCTGGAACTTAAAGTTGGAAAAGCCTGAAATTAGAATTGTTTGCCCCTGTTTGAGTCTTCCAGTACCAGAACTGCACGCACCTGAATAAATAATCCCTATCCTTGTGTCTGCAGCCAAAAAACAACCATGTCTCTCCAAAGTGTCCACCTGGGGATTGTTCACGGAGTTTCTCTCTAAGTGATCAAGAAAGTTGAGATATTTGATACAAAGAATATGTAAAACCAATCTCTCTCTTTGGTCAGGAACCACCGATAACCCAGACAGGTCCATAAAAGTGACCTTTGCAGGCACTAAGAGTCATTCACCGAAGTGGGATTTTCCTCCCCACTCAGTGCTGGGGCCACTCCAACAGACATGGCTGAACAGACAGGCAGTGAGTAAGCATGTCTGTGAGTTGCAGACCTCCATGAGCTCTGGGACATCTCTGCAAGGAGGATCATTCAAAATACCACACTGTGAAACCCAGACTAAGTTCTAGATTAAATGTGAATAGCTATTTTATGAATAAAAAGAAATTCATTGTAATGGAAAAGTGGCACAGAGCTTTAAAAGGTAGAATGCTCTGCTGTGATGAAGGTCGGAAATGATAGACACAATGAGCACAGCTGTCATCATTCTTTTGCTTTTTCAAGGAAAAAGCCACAACTATAAAGACTCTGCCCAAGGACAGCACTGTACTAACAGGGGAGAGAACATGAGAGCTGATCACTGCTGCATAAATGGGGAGAGAAGCACAACTTTATTTATATCAGATAGTTCTGTTCTGATCAAGATCCCTTGATTAACATCACTCTACTGAAAAGTATTGAAGTTTGGGGTTTTACTTCAAAACTTTTGCTTTAACTGGATCTGTTACTACCAATTTTATGCAGTAAGGAGCAGCTGAACAAACCGCACGCAGTCACAGCATGAAGGTGTGCCTGAAATTCGTCCCCAACTACAAACATCACCAACTATAGTACAGCTGGGGTGAAAGAAGAGTGCTACTGTAAAAATGGAAGTTCCAGTCCTAAGCAGACTTCAGAAAACATCGAATTTGCTTTTCCTATGATAACTCATTATGCTATGCTAACACACATTTGATGGTAATTCCTTAAAATAAAAATTTTACAACCCAAATCCAATATCCTACATGGAAATGAGGATACAAAAAAGGCTATTATATTTCTACCCAGGACCACAAGGGGTACACTTTCTCATTAACCAAAGAAAGCACATACCTGTGTTGTAGGAAACCAATGAAGGGCGCTATGCCAGTCCCTGGGCCCACCATTATGATGGGGACTGTGGGGTCATTTGGTAAGTGGAAAGAATTTGTTGTTCGAGGTGAGATGGATATCTGGAATATTAAACCAATGGTCATAAGCTTTAAAGGAAACCTAGACAAAGCATATAACCAAGATGATCTTTGCTAAATGAACCAGTGCAAATTCTGCTCAAAAAAGCAAATGAAATACTGCATTAACTTTAACTTGAACCATGAACACATTAGTCACTACAGAGGGAAAAAAACAAGTCTGTCTTGCAATGTTTCTTTTCCATTAAAATCAAAGGTGTTTTAAAAATGACAGGTGTGTTTCTGAGGTAGAACAACAGATATACTCAAACTCTTACCTAGGCCCATGCATGTGACCTGCTTTCTTCTAGTAGGCAGCCATTATAACTATTATGAAGAAATGCCCCAGAAAATGAAGACACAATTCTTCACATTTGCACACAGAGGCAATGAAGATTAACATGAAGACAAGGGAACAGTTTTAGGTGAAAATTAGGCAATCAAAAGAAAAATTAAGGAGTTGCCCTAAAGATACTAGAGAATTATGCTAACATCTGTTACTCTGGGTTCAATATTATTTGTATTTGTGCAAAACTAGAAGAATAAGTGATATAAATAGATAAAACCTTTTTCACTAAAATTTCAAGAGACGGTTCTTCTAAATCATGGGCCAGGAATCTTTAGAGAGTCAATTTGTAAAATATTTCACTCTCCCACGCGTGTAAGTTACACTGAGATCCGCTGAGGGTTAAGGATGACAGGAATCTGCTCTATGTTCCATGTCATCACAATGGTATACATTTAACCTTTAGTTCCAGAAAATCATTAACATACAACAGGATGAACACAACACTTTCTAATGAAAAACTGGCAAAAGCTCTGTCAAATGACTCTCATCTTAAAACAAAACTGTAATGAGTATTTCACCGGCCTTACTCACAACTCCTCTAACAGTTATTTATTTTTTTTAATGGCATGTAATTATATTTGACATTTGAGCTGGGTCCACATTCTCTGTTTAACAGTTTTAATGATGGTACCAACATGGCCAGTGGTAGGGATAGAGAAATATACATAACAAAACCTTCTTCATTGAACTTACATTCTAGTGGGAGAAAAGGATATACCCACAGAATGACAGGGATGGTAAGTCCCGTGAAGCAACACAGAACAGGACACAGGAGGCATGGCAGGGGCTGTGGCGTGGGCACGCTCTGTCCCAGGGACAGCAAGGGCCGGGTCAGCCTGCTCGGGCACAGGACATCTCAGCGGCTCACCCCCAGTGCTTCTTTCTGGCTGTCCCCAAAGCTGCAGGTTGGCTGCTGCTCTGCTCCAGGGATTTCGTTCACTTGGATCCAAGCCCAAGGAGCACCCTGGACCTCCAATATCCCGTCCCGTGCACCAGAGGGAAAGAAGGAGGGGCAAGCCACTAGGCCACCAGGCTGGGCACCCCACCCAGCCAGGGGCACCATCCCACCTGCTCCCCTTCCGCTGGCTGCAGCTGTCCCAACACCAGCTCAACGCCAATGACAGGGACGTCTCTCCCCTCCCATGGACAGAGGACATCTGGGAACGACTATACTGCCCACCTGCTGGGGGAGGGCGTGCGGAGGAGCATGCGATTATTAACTCTCTCCACGTTTCCTAAGAACATACAGGACAGGCACCACCAACCTAAGGCAGTTTTAAACTGCATCCTGTGTATCTGTATCTCTAGTGCCTGAATTTTGGGGTGTCAACAGAAACTGTTAACATGAGGAGTGAAGGAGGGTAAAAGGACAGGCGGGAGGAGAGGAAGGGCAAGTGAAAGGCATGTAGGGCTAGTGTCTACAATGCATTACAGCTGCATGTTATGTCTAAACCTTCAGGGAATTATCTGCTATGTACCTATTATCATGAAGTGACTTAATACCTTTATGTCAGCATTATATTTCTTTTCAAAAGGTTTGTTTCTCAGGTTCCCAAGATTTTGTGGATGCATAATGAATTTAGTCAGGGGGAGGGGAAGCGAAAACACACACATGCTCTCATTCACTTTCATACACACACAAACACCCCCCACTCATTCTCTTTCACACACACACACACACACACACGCATGCACGCATGCACTCTAAAGCCCCTCTGTGCTCATGTCTCCAAGGGGACTGTGCTGACTGCTACATCAAGATATGAAAGATGTCACTAAGCCCAGATGTCAACGTGTCCAGTCTGATCAGAAAATCGAGTAACACACTTCTCTACATGTTTTGAAAGTGATTTCCCCCTTAGTAAGGCCATCTCACTGAGAGTCCTAACTGGGATCCCACACAATGGCTATGACAAAAGGGAAGAAAGAGGCTGAGAAAACCTCAGTACCCGAACTGAAGCATACAAAATTCACCTTGGCTGTCAACTTAAAGACTCATCCTCAGCAGGAATGAGGCTGTCCCCCATCACTAGCCTTCAATGTCCACCTGACTCCTTTTCTGTGCCCATCTACCAAGAATATTAACAGAAAAGGTCTTCTTTCCTATGAATATAACAAGATGAAAAGACTATTATATAAAATTCATGCCTACACATTTAGGAAACACACACATTATTTCATAATGAGTCAAAGTGATGTTTTCTTAACTGTCCCACAGAGATTTTTAAAATTCAAGCGTGGCATAATTGTCCCTTGAATAAATTCATTGCTAACAGACAATGAAGGGGAGACTACACTGTTTTCTTCTAATCAGGAAAAGAACATAATTTTAATGATGTCAAACTGCACACTCCTAGTACCTCAGGAGCCAGGGCTTTCCTGCCATCTGCATGGGATGCATGCATGTTTGGCTGAAGGACTGATGCAACCAACGTGGCCAGCCAGCCTGTGCACACACCTCTCTGCAGAACCTCCGCTGTGGACAGGAACTCCACGATGTTAAAGACGAAGTGGAGCTTCCCTGGGTGAAACAGAGCTGAGCTGTGGAGACACACAGGGGAGGTGTGACTCTGTTACGCACTATTAGCACTAGTATATACCAGCCAGATGTGACTATTCTTTCTGCACTGAGGGATACTTCCACTTGGGCTCTAATCTACATTCTAACTCCTCAGAGACAAGGGCTCTACAGCTCCTTAAAATCTCCCCTAACTCCCCAACCCGGCCCTTATTTTGATATCAATTAGGAAAGTTTCAATTATCTGTTTGCCCTCAAGGCTAGATGAGATTTATGCCAATTTTCCTCTCTCTTCCCTGGCCTCCTCTGTACCCAGTGAAGGCAGCCTGCACATCAATAAAGGGAGCAGGTGGAGGACCTGAAGACTTGTTGTCCTAAGTAGGGAAACTCGCTTCTGGACCACGGAGCCACTGAAGACTCTACCCCCTCTCTGAACTCCTACAGGACAGGAATCCTAAGACAGCTCTTCTTCATTTCTTATCATGCCTGTTCTTGGGCCCACAAACCAGCTACGTTTTCCCTGCATTGATTTGTAGCTACTGTAGGTTTGAAAGTCGAAGATTCAAAACATTTGGGAGTAGGTGCTATGTATTATGTTAATAAATATCAGTACCTTGCACATGAGTATGGTCTGGGTTGGAGCTTGGGAAGATGTTCTGAAAAAATTAAAAGCAGCAATTATTAATTCATTAATACTGAAAATAAATTACATGTAAGAGGTAGAAGGCTCAAGGTCTGAGTTAGATTTTTATTTTCTCCTATTTAGAATACTCAAATTAACATGTTTTTGTTTTAAATCATATTACAGAGCCCATGTAAATTCACTATGTATAAGTAAAATATTACGGAAATATTTTCTTTCAGTTCCTAAAGTTAAAAACCAGACATGATGCATTTCCTTAATCTGAAATTAGTATTTCTACCTAAAGGCCAGTTTCCTAACCCAAAGGATAACAGAAGGAGGGCCTATGAATGAGCCTCAGAATTAAGGAGCCCAGAGAACCTTCCATGTGTGCTATGTCCTATGGAGCAGCGTCCAGATTTTCAGATGTGAAATGAGATCATGACCCCAAAAAGATTAAAAACCGATATTTTAAAGATTGTGGGCAATACTTAGGATTGGAATATTTTTCCTTCTTATATTTATATAATAGTAACAAAAAAATGGGAGTGTAGTGGTAGACATTTTTACATCAAGTTAACCAGAAACCCAGTGATTTCAAGATACATAAATGCTCTTTTAAGAGCAGGTTAAAGAATATTTGAATACCTAGTTGTCTGCTAACAAACTGTAATATTTTTTTGTGTTTAATATGCTCTATTTTTAGCACTTATTAAGCAAAAATTTGGAAAGACTTTGCTAACATTTAATAAATGTCAGAGTAAGGTTTAATAGAGAGCTCAACTTAATACTAAGCTTTAGATATAGTTTTCCTAATATGGAAATATAAATTTTTAAAGTCTCATTACCTTTATTAGTTTTTTACATAAATGCAATAAATAATATATAAAAGTCTGAAAAGATAACAAAAATCCACAAGAAGAACTGAAACACAGCCTCATATGTCTGGGGGCCTTACAGGGGCTCTGCCAGCCACCCCAGCCCCAGCGCTTCCTCTGAAGGCTCACTGAGAAGGGGAGTGTCGGCTTGAACTCAGAAAGCAGGAAGAGCTACCTCTCTTGCTAACATTTTATCACTTTAGGGAGGAAGAATTACCACTTTGGGGAGGAAGAAGTGGAAAGAACACTATGAAGTAAAAAGGAAAAAAAAGCAGGGCTCAACCCTGAACTGCACTGGCCAGCTTAACAATAAAAAGCACAACACATTTTCCCATCATGAAAGACAAATGAAATGTGAAAGATCTTACTATTTATCAGTATAGGAACACAGAGATGACAAAATTACAAGCATAGGAAAGTAATAAAGGCTTAAGAACCCTATGAATTATTACAGCCATTACTCTTAGCAAATGTCTCCAATCCCTCACTGGGGCTGCCTGCGAAGGCCTCCAGACACCAGTTCCTCAGGGAGGATCTTAGACTCTCTGTTGGAGTAGGATAACCCAGAGAGACAATCCAGACAAAAGCAGATGACCTTACATTTGAACTCTTTCTAAGGGTCTAAGGGATCTCTCCCATGCCTGATGCTTAGGGCACCCTCCAAGTGTACTATATGACAGGAGGGGTCCCTCTGCTCTTGAACGACCCCAAACCTGGACATGCGCAGACCCAGGCAAGCATTCCATATTCTGTACACGTCACTGACTTGCCAATGAAATCTGATGTTCATTATCTTTGAAAAAGAAAATCTTTATCTTGGAGAGCTCACTATTAGGTAAAATTTGGCTAAGTAAGCTTTCTGAAAAACAGTTAAATTAATAGAAAAGATGATGAATGCTGAGCAGAAAAGAATTAACACTGGCTGTATCAAGAGAGCAAATGAGAGTAACAAAAGTAGATTGGAAAAAATAAGGAAATAAAGCTTTAAGAGGGAGTCTTTCAGTTCAGATGTCAAAGACCTTGAGGCAAACTATTAGGCATTTCCCCACTGTTCACAGTTCAGACATGTTCCACATGCCTGCAAGGAATTCAAAGGCTGCCTTGGGAACAGAAATTGCTCTTCACCACAGGAGGCTGTGCGGCAGCAGTGCCCTGGGGCTCGGGAGCCTGGACAGCGACCACTCACCAAGCAGCAGGCTGAGTGGGGGCTGGCAGGACGGAAAGGCGCAAAGGAGGTCTGACACGCTGGCACAGGCATCACGTACAAAGCAGTTGTAGTCGGCAGCCCCCTGCCTGCTGCACAGCTCCTGCAGCCTGCGCTTCTCCGTGCCATCGCCGGTGTAGTCCGCCAGGGCTCGCACAAATGCCTGCAGCCGAAGCAGAGGCAGCCATCAAAAGACCGTGTGCTGTGTGGTCAGACTCTCAGTTCAGGACTCCGCTTCAGATCTACCTATGGATGGGCCCCATTATCCACGGAAAAGTGAGAACCTCTAGGGATGTGGTTGGAAGAAAATTTAAACTGCTATGTGCTCTAATTTCAGTTTGTTCAGAAAATTCACTTCCATGTTCTATTTTTCATCACTTCTCCAACCTAGCAGTCACAGGCATGATCTCATATTACACATCTGGGAGATCTGAGTAGGAATGATCAAGTCCCATCATCTCAGGACATAATGCTTATTCTTGGCTGATGATTACAATCTAGATGTGTACATGTATCTAACAACTGTTGACTGGCTTTTATAAGATAGGCACTGGGCACAAAATGACCCCTAACTTGCCTGAAGGGCTCCCAGGCTAGTGAGGGCAACAAAGTCAGGGAGTGAGTGTGCAGCTGGCCAACTCCCTGGGGAAGCTCACGGGATGCTGGGGAAGCCTGAGGTTTCCTGGACCACAGACTGGGTGGAAGGCTGCCTGCACTGAAAGGGAATGAAGACTAGCTAAACAGATGGCATGGAAAGGCGGGTAGGCAGGCAAAAGCCTGGTTTGTGGCATCAGCGTACAGTTCCCTATGGAGGCAGGGAGAGAATATAAATAAAACGGGAACATCCTGAATCCCACGTCTTAGTCACTGAGTCAAGAGCAAACTCTTAAACAAAAGACAACATACTAATGGAAATTTTTGGTCTCAACACAATTCCAAGTTTATCCATTATATGACACATACAGCTCTTCTCACTCAATGAGTCTTTAGGCAAGGTGTGTGTATCAAATGCTAATGAGAACTGCTACTTTTTATTCCATGCCTCAAAGCACCCTCATGTCCTGGAGACCCTTAACGGGTGGACAAGATCACTGTCCTTGGGCATGGGGAGGAGGAGGTCACAGGTTCCCACTGGCTTAGTTAAGAATTTCTGCCCAAGCTATCTTGAGATATCAAATTACATGTGGTCTTCAAAGTGCCAGACACAGGTCCAAACACAGAACAAGCACCCCAGAAATGCTGGGGAATGACTAAATGCCCCCCGTCTCTTCATGAACCTCTGGGAAGATAGGAAGTTTACCAATAACACTGCACAATTCCCTAAGTCAATAAAATTTCCTAAATTACAGGATAATGTCAAGTGTAAATCCTTTAAAATATTTTCACTTTAAAATTACAGAAATATTATGTACTAAAATAGGAAATACTGTACAATGTAGAAAACAAACTGACATTACTAAAATTTAAGTTGTAAATATTTTTAATGACTATTCTCAAAATTTAAGTAAGTGTGCAAAGATGAAAATAGTACAAGAATGTTCACCTAGTTTTTTTTTTTTTTTTTTAACAGTGAAGAACTGAAAACCAACAATGGTCACGATTAAATGAACAGACATGGCATACCATCACATCTGTTAAAAACATCTCCAATACCTTTATCTTTCCATGCTGGGATAAATTCTTGATTTCTTTCCAAGTAAAAAAGGCATATTACAAAACAGCACATATACCATATGATCTCTTTTTTTCTTAGCAAAACAAAATTCAAGTGTTCACCCTTGAGGGTTTGATTATAAAGGACTTTTGCTCCCTGATTATTTTTTTGTGTCTGGAATTTTTTAAATGAGTGCTACTTTTGTAGTAAGGAAAAAAATATTTTTACATATATTTTATAAAAATTTTAAAACAAGGTCAAGTTGAAGTGAATTGTGAACTCACTGAGTTTCATCAAGAAATTCTCACCACAATGAATTGAAAATTCACTCATTTTGATACAGAGCTGAGACTCTCTAGTTTGTTTCCCAAAGACTGCAAATGCAATAAATATTTTAATAAAAATAAAACTAAAATGTGCTGGGGAAGGAAGCATTACTTGTGCTCACTGGCAAAACAAGTTTCAAGTTTGGAAAGCACAGCTTGGAAAGTTTTTCCATTAATATCTATTTGAGGGACACAGTTAGAAGAAATCAGTCACAAGTATTTTTCTAAAAGTATAGTTCCTGGCCTAATACTGACATCTAGAGATTGTTCCACCTCCAAATTCACGTAAACATTGACCAAAACCTTTAATTTTTCCTGAACAATTATGATGTTAACAAAAAATAACCATGTATTTTTACACAGAAAAATGGGAAGGAGATGGCAAGTACTGTCCTAAGTCTCTAGGCACCAATTACAGAGAGTGTCCTGTGTAGCTGGGTAACATAAGGTCACGTAGGATCACTTTAATCACTGAGTCAGGGGCTACATCAAGTTAACATCTAGTAAAACAAAATTAAGCAAAGGCCCTACTTTGAAAATCTTATTTCAAGAGGAAACATGAGATTTCAATATAGGCACAACATAAACACATTCATTTATGACAATTATAAAGATACCACAATAACCTTGCGAACTATCTTGAGGAGATGCTCTGAAGACCATATTTTCTAAGCTTTTAAAGGGCAAATACTAGATTTAATAAATCCTACACACGGCTAAAAATATTTTTAAAGAGTTAAAAGAAAAAACAAATACCTTTTTAGGAACTGCTCGTATTTCAAGGCACCAGGTAAGGATGAATTGGAGAGAGCATCCTTCAGGTATATGCTGGGGCAAAGCTGCTCCTTTTCAGGTAGAAAGGAAAAAAGGTCAGGACACATGAAACAAACAATAAGATGTTGTCTGCATTCCTAAAAACACATCTAATTGTAATACTTTACAGTGCCAACAAGGTACAATATGATTTGTGACATTTGTGTAGTCAGTCAAAAAGTGTCCCCAAAATGAATACAGCAGGAAAACATACCTTAAAAAAAAAATAAAAGAATTACAAATTCAATAGAATTTTACTAGCCATACCTCCATACCTACCAAATCTAGGTATATAGCAAACAAAAAAAAAGGGAATCATTCAAGACCAAGTTACAAAGAGCCAGAAGATGGCAGTGGTTTGTTAACATTGCATTATATATAAAATAAGCAGTAACAAAGAAACATAACAGAAAAACTGCTGTAAGAAATAAACAATAGAAAACAACTTTTAACAAATATTCATATAATAAAAAAGTTTTTATTGCATGATGACTTTAGTGCACTAACTTAGAAACAAAATAAGGCTAACTGCAAAGAGCAGACTAGCAAGTCAGCCCAACTACCCAACCTGCTCCTCCAAGACCACTCACATTCACTTCACTGCCTGTGTGCCCAGTGAGCACAAAGCCACTCACACCTGAGTCCTGTGGCTGGTGAGTCTGCAGGGGAGCAAAGAACCCACAGGAGCAGCAAGTGCCTGTGTCCCCGTGACACCAGCCAACCTGGGGCACCTGAGCAGTCACCATGCAGGTTGTTGACTGGGACCCAGGAATGGGGGTGACATATTTTCACCTGTCACTTGCAATGTATTGGCTTAATGACACCCTAAGAAGCATGAGACCAAGGCTGACCTTTCTTCTTTGTGTCTGCCCTGACTTCCAGGAGGACACAGTGCTTGCCTCTGTCCACAAGGTGCAGTCTTTGGAGCAGGTTCTGTACCTCAGACTCACTGTTGGGACAGATCACATTGAAGGCATCTCCAGGCTGATAGGAAAAATCTGTTTTCTAGAGAAAAACCAACATAAAAGAAAAAACCCCATATGAATTAAAGATTTCTATCGTGGGGGTAAAAAAATCTAGTTTTTATTATATAATCATTTTATATGAATTAGCAACAAAATTATTCTAATTGCAAAAAACAAGCCCAACTAACTGAACAAACATACTTTTATTAGGAGTTTTTTTAAAAAAGAACTTCCATAATTATCTATTCTTTGCTTTTTATCAGTGACTACTTACAGGATGGAAATCAAGATAGCCCTTGAGGAAAGTGCCTCAGTAAACAGTGTTTTAATAACCTACATAAAAATCCCTCTTATGAAAACGCACATGCGTGCACACATACTCTGAGCAGAAGAAACTACTGAAGGCTCTCTGCAGTGGTTCCCAATTCTTGTTCTTTAGTCTTTTTCTTTCAGGGAAGAGCAGTGGCAGGAGTAGACACTATTTTTTTCCGTAATGAGCATAAAACATTACTCCATTTGGCTTGGCATTATCTGTGAACAAACGTGCTGCAGGAGGAGCCGCTTTCCATGGCACATGTACTTACAAAGCAATGCAAAACACAGACCAAGGTTCCAGAAAGAGGCCTCTTACCACACACATGCTCACATCCCTAGCCTGGGAGGGTGACAGACTAGACCCACCAATTGGCCCACCCTCACCTCTTCATGACAAAAGTCTAGAACAGCAAAATAAAAAGAAAATGTTTACTGTAGATAGAATATTTCATGACACAGATTATTAAAAGGTTCAAAAGAAAAATGGAAGTATCCAATAATATGTAAGCCAAACCATTTGGATTTGATCCCTGTCACTTCTGTTAGAAGTTCAGTTATATCCAACAGAGCCTTCAGGCACCCTTTTCTAAAAGTGCAACCCACTTGTCTCAGGACCTTCATCAAACAAACGGTTCAGCTACATGGCTTTGAAGAGGTACTCAAGCACCAAAGATCCAGGATGATCGATCACAGTTTCTTACCCTGAGGTCAATGGATCTGGGCAGGGGTAAGGGAAGGATTCATGAATGTACCTACTCCCCCTGAAACTGTTGCAAAGGGTTTACATGGGATCATTTTTCTGGCAGGGGATACATGATTCTTTACAGAGTTGAAAGGAATGAGAGCCAAATGAGAAATGAGCCAAATATGACTGTCTATCCTGAGCTCAATTTGTAATTAGTTGGCTGACCTCAGGTAACACCTTCCTCTATAAGGACTATATAACACTTCCATATAAGGACTCCTTATATGGAAAATGATGTTCTGATTTCATTATTTTTTTGTGGCTTAACAAGTAAGGCAGCAACATCATTCTCTTAAGCTGAATCACCTCCAGAGCCACTCTTCTTCTAGTCCCTCCCTGAAGTGAAAATAGGTGTGAAGCGCAGAGAAAAAAATGATAGGTCAAGAATAAAGGATGAGAAGACTTGTATGGGGGAAGATGGTGGGGCAGGAAAGCAAGGTGCAAACCGCTTCCCACATACACACCAAGGAAGCAACTACAGAAATAAAACTAACCCTGGGGGTGACCTGAAGACTGCAGGACAGACCACCTACACCTGGGAAGGAAGAGAAGACCACCCAGAGAAGGGAAAAGGGGCAGAGCCATGACTGGGTGAGACTCAAGCCCTTCCCCCATCCCAGCCCACAGGCCAGAGGAAGAGGAATGGAACGGGCAGGGATAGGTGCTCAGGAACCCTGCACACCTGGCCCCGGAGATGTGCTCTGGGTACAGGAGTCCACACCGCACTGGGTCCTGCTGATTAGGGGGGGGGGAAGTCAGAGCACTCTCAGAGGCTGAGATCCCAGTTGCTGGTGGAGGACAGGCGTGCTCTGCTGGTCCTTCTGAGACCCAAAGCAGAGCTGGTGGTAGTCTGAAAGACTTGCCAGCAGTAGGAGGAGGACTACCAGAGGGGCGAGGGTTGGATGGAGCTCTCGCCAAAAGAGAAAGGACAAGTGAACAATACCTCCCAAGCCCTCCCTCAGCCCAACAGTTCAGGCGCTCTTGGGAGCCTGACACTCCATCTGGCCCTCTCTGACAGCACAGACCCAAAGCATTCCCTGTGCACCTGCCCTTGGCCCAGCAGCATTAGACTGCTGTTTGGAAGGCACAGGGAGGCTTTCCCAGCTTTCTTGCAATGTCTCAGCCAACTAAAGAGGCATCTGCAGGAACCAGCTCCAAGAGCTCGTTCCTTCCTGCGGGCGGCCCAGCCCAGTGCCAGATGAGAGCCCTGAGAATGCCCTGCCCACCCCATTAACCCAGCAGCCTCACCATTGCTGCAGGGCAAGCAGAGGGCAGCCCCCCTCAAACAAATGACCCCAGCAGAAGCTGCTGCACAGCTCACAGAGGGCTGGCTGAGGCAAACTGCTACTCACAGTGAACGGGAGAGAGCACTGCCAGAAGACAGGTGGCACTGCCCATAGCCCACCAACAGCACTGGGGCTCCACCTCAAAGGAGAGCCAGGCACTGGTGAGTAAAGTGTCTTGAGCTTCTGGGCACCACAGAACACCTTCTTCATAAAGCCACTATTCTCTAGATCAGGAGGCACAGCAGAATCATCTAAGATAAAGATAGAAACACAGGAACTCTAACAAAATGAGGAGGTAGAGAAGTACATGCCAAGCAAAACTACAGGTAAGACACAAGAAAGAGGGCTAAATTAAATGGAAATTACCAATCTCCTTGATAAAGATTTTAAAGTAGCAGTTATAAATATGCTCATGGATCTGAGGATAAGTATTGAAGATCTCAGAAAGAACTTCAACAAAGAGCTACAAGAGCTGAAAAAGAGGTACTAAGAGCTGGAGAATACAGTAACTAAAGTGGAATATACAATGGAGTAAATGAATAACAAATTGCTGCAAGTAGAGGAGACAATCGATGAGATGAAAATTGGAGCACAGGAACACAATGAAGCCAAGGAAAGGAGAGAAAAAAATCTCTAGGAATTACAGAATGATGAGAGCTGTGTGCCCAATCCAAATGAAACAATGTTCACACAACAGGGGTACCAGGAGAAGAGACAGAGATAAAAGACTATTTGAGGAAATAATTGTTGAAAACTTGCTTAATCTTGGGAGGGTAATAGACATCCAGGTCATGGAAGCACAGAGAGCCCCTGACAAAAGGAACCCCAGGAAGATAACACCAAGACATATAATAATTAAAATAACAAAGATTAAAGATAAGTAGAGAGTATTGAAAGCAGCGAAAGAAAGAAAAAAGACTCTTTATAAAGGAAACCTGATCAGGCTATCAGCAGACTTCTCAGCAGAAACTTTAAAGGCCAGAAGGTAGAGGGATGAAATATTTAGTGTACTGAAAAAGAAGGACCTTTAATCAAGAATCCTCTACCCAGCAAGATTACCATTCAGATTTGAAGGGGTGCTTAAACATTTCCCAGATAAACAAAGACTGAAGGAATTTATAACCACTAAATTGGCATTACAGGATATGTTAAAGGGACTGCTACAAATGGAAATGTTCCTAAGGCTAAAAAGTTTTCACCAGTGAAAATAAACCCAAAATAAATGTATAGACTAATTAATTACCAAGCAAGTACAAAACTAAAATAAAAGTAGTAAAAACAACTATGCACAGAATCAGTCAAGGCACACACAAAAAGTGCAGATTATAATGCCTAATACATAAAAAAGTAGTACTTTTAGACTGCATTTGAAATAGAGCAATCATTAACTTAATATAGACTGTAACATAGTCAGGAAGCTATCCATGAACCTTATGGTAACCACAAACTTAAAGACTACAATAGATACACAAAAAATTAAAAAAGAGAAATCCAATTACTAAAGAGAATCATCAAATAACAAGTGTACAACATAGAAAGAAAAGAACTACAAAAACAACCAGAAAACAATTAATAGAATGACAATAAGAACATACCCACCAATAATCACCAAATGGACTGAATGCACCAATTAAAAGACACAGGGTGGCAGAATGGACAAAGAAACAAGACCCATCTATATGCTGCCTCAGAGACTCATTTCAAACCCAAAGACACACACACACTAAAAGTGAAGGGATGGAAAAAGATATTTCATGCAAATAACAGGGGGGAAAAAAGCAGGAGTAACAGTACTTACACCAGACAAAACAGATTTCAAAACAAAGCAGGTAACAAGAGACAAATAAGGACATTGCATAATGATAGAGAGGTCAGTCCAATAAGAGGATATAACCATTATAAATATCTATGCACCCAACATGGGAGCACCTAATTACATGAAACAAATACTAACAGAATTGAATGGGGTAGATCACAACTATTCATTGTAGGAGATTTTAACACACCACTCACATCAATAGATCAACCAGACAGAAAATAAAAAGGAAAAAGGCACTGAACAATACATTAGGTCAGATGGACTTAACATATCTACAGAACATTCTACCCAAAAGCAGCAGGATACACATTTCTCTCGTGTACATGGAATGTTCTCCAGAATAGATCACACACGAGACCACAAAAAGAGCAATAAATTTAAAAGGAATGAAATTGTATCAAGCAGCTTCTCAGACCACAATGGTATTACATATGGTATAACAAATAAATTACACAAAGGAAACAGAAAAGCCCACAAACATATGCAGGCTAAACATGTTTTCTAAATAATCAATGGGTCAATGACCAAATTAAAACAGAAACCATGCAATACATGGAGACAAATGAAAACAGAAGTACAACAGTCCAAAATTTGTGGGTTGCCACAAAAGCAGTTCTAAGAGGAAAGTACATAGCAATACAGGCCTACCTAAAGAAACATGAACAATCCCAAATAAACAGTCAAAATTCATAAATAAACTAGGAAAAGAACAAATGAAACCCAAAGTCAGAAGAAAGAGGGACATAATAAAGATCAGAGCAGAAATAAATAAAACAGAAAAGAATAAAACAATAGAAAAAAAATCAACAAAACCAAGAGCTGGTTCTTTGAGAAAATAAAGTAGACAAACCCCTAGCCAGACTTATCAAGAAAGTAAGAGTGTACACACATAAACAAAACCAGAATGAAAGGAAAAGTCACAATGACTACCATAGAAATACAAAGAATTATTAGAAAATACTATGAAAATTCTATGACAATAAACTGGACAACCTAGAAGAAATGAAAAATTCCCAGAAAAATATGATCTTCCAATTTGGCCCAGGAAGAAACAGAAAATCTAAACAGATGACGACCGGTAATGAAATTGAACTGGTAATTAAAAAACTACCAATGAACAAAAGTCCAGGACCAGATGGCTTCACAGCTAATTTTATCAAACAATTAAAGAGGAGCTAATACCCATCCTTCTTAAAGTATTCCAAAAAGTAGAAGAGGAGGGAACACTTTCCAACTCATTCTGTAAGTCCAGTATCACTCTAATACCAAAGCCAGACAAAGTCAATACAAAAAAAAGAAAATTACAGACCAATATCTCTGATAAACATAGATGCAAAAATCCTCAACAAAATAATAGCAAATCAAAATCAAAAATACATCAAAAGGATCACCCATCATGACTAAGTGGGATTTATTCCAGGGGTGCAAGGATGGTATAATATTCATAAGCCAATTAGTAGCATACACTACATTAAGAAAAAGAAGAATAAAACCACACGAACATCTCAATAGATGCTGAAAAACACTTGACTTAATTCAATATCCATTCAACATATTAAAGGCCATATACAACAAACTCACAGCTAACATCATACTCAATGGCAAAAATCTGAAAGCTTTTCCCCTAAGATCAGGAACAACACAAGGATGTCCATTTTCACCACTTTTATATGACATAGTACTAGAAGTCCTAGCTACAACTATCAGATAACAAAAGAGATATGAGGCACCCATATTGGTAAGGAAGTAGTTAAAACTCTCACTATTTGCAGATACCATGATATTATACATAGAAAACCCTAAAGACTCCACCAAAAAACTATCAGAACTAATAACTGGATTCAGCAAAGCTGAAGCATACAAAATTAATACACAGAAATCTATCACATTCCTATATACTAACAACAAACTAGCAAAAAGAGCAGTCAGGAAAACAATTCCATTTATAGTTGCATCAAAAAGAAAAAACACCTAGGAATAAACCTAATCAAGGTAGTGAAAGACCTGTGCTATGAAAACTGTAAGACACTCATGAGAGAAATTACAGATACAAGTAAATAGAAATCTATCCCATGATCATAGATGGGAAGAATTAATATGGTCAAAATGGCCATCCTGCCCAAAGCAATTTACAGATTCAACGCAATCTCTACCATACCACCAACAGCACTTTTCAATGAACTACAGCAAAAAATCTTAAAATTCACTTGGAACCACAAAAGACCCTAAATAGCTAAACCAATCCTGAGAAAGACGAACAAGCTGGGGGGATTATGCTCCCTGACTTCAAGCTCTACTACAAAGCTACAGTAACCAAAATAATATGGTACCAGCACAAGAACAGACCCATAGATAATGGAACAGAACAGAGAGTCCAGATATAAACCCATGCATATATGGTCAATTAATTTATGATAAAGGAGCCATGAATGTACAATCGGAAAAAGACAGCCTCTTTAATACCTGGTGTTGGGAAAACTGGAAAGCTACATGCAAGAGAATGAAACTGGATTACTGTCTAATTCTACACACAAAACGAAACTCAAAATGGATACAAGACCTGAAAGTTGGACATGAAATCATAAAACTCTTAGAAGAAAACATAGGTAAAAATTGCTTTAATATAAGCATGAGCAATTTTTTCCTGTCAGGCCATGTGAGGACACATCTCCTCAGGCAAGGGAAACAAAGACAAAAATTAACAAGTGGTACTACATCAAACTAAAATGCTTCTGTGCAGCAAAGGACACCATCAGCAGGACAAAAAGGCAACCCTACAGTATGGGAAAGTATTTGTAAATGATTTATCTGATAAGGGTTAACATCCTATATATATAAAGAACCTATACATCACAACACCAAAAAAACAAATAACCTAATAAAAACAGGGAGAAGATGTGGAGAGACATTTCTCCAAAGACATACAGATGGCCAACAGGTACATTAAAAGATGCTCCACATCATTAGGGAAATAAAAATCAAAACCACAATGAGATATTTCACCTCACACCAGTTAGAATGGCCACTATCCAAAATACAAGAAATAAGTACTGGGAAGGATGTGGAGAAATGGGAACCCTCCTACACTGTTGGCGGGAATGCAAACTGGTGCAGCCACTGTGGAAAGCAGTACGAAGGTTCTCAAATAACTAAAACTAGAAATACCACACAACCCAGAAAATACACTTCTGGAAATTTACCAAAAACAAAATCCCTGATTCAAAAAGATATATGCACCTCTATATTTATCACTGTATTATGTACAATAGCCAAGATATGGAAGCAACCTAAGTGTCTGTCAGTAGATGAATGGATAAAGAAGAGGTGGTACATATACACAATGGAATATTATTCGGCCATAAAAAGAAAGAAATCCTGCCATTCACAACAACATGGATGGATTTAGAGAATATTAAGCTCAATGAAATAAGCCAGGTGAAAAAGACAAACGTTGTATGATTTCACTTATTTGTGGCATCTAAAGACAAAACAAAATGAACAAAATAGAAGTAGACTCATAGGCACTGAGAAGTGACTGGGGGAGAAATTGAGGTGGATGGGTAGAAAGGGTGAGGGCCATAAAGAGGCACAAAAACTCTTCATCATAATATAAGTTGGCCTTGGAGATGGAAGTGCAGCATGGAGAACATAACGAATGATTCTGTAACATCTTCCTATATTGACAAATAGTAACAGCACCAGTTGGGGTAAGGACTTAATAATATGGGCAACTGTTGACCCACTGTGTTGTATACTTGAAACCAATACAAGACTGTTATGTCAAAGATACTTCAATTAAAAAAAAAAAAGACTTGCAAGGAAGCTATTGCCCATACTGCAGTGACCTTAATGACAAAACACTAATGACGAACGTAACTTTTCCCTTGGAAAGTTTTTAATGCTCCTAGTTTAGGAAAGAAAATCAAATATAAATTATCATTTATTTTCCTTTTTTGAATTTGTAGAAATAAGGTAGAAGAAATAAAAACATTTTTGAAATGCTAAAAAAAAAGAATAAAGGCCCAAGGGCCTGAGACCCCCCACCCCTTCTGAGGCAATTGGCGAGAACACCACAAAGTCTCTGCACTTCTTAACGTAACTGTGCTGAGGGATAAATTTGTGACTTACTGAAATGTCCAATTCTACCAGAAGAGTGGTTTTTACGGCATCATTTGTAGTCAGCTGAACTGCCTTTGAAATTGGAACTTGAAAAACTGGATCCGCTGAAGTCACAGATGCTTGGTTTTCTTCCTTAAGAAACAAATGTGATAGAATATTACCCTGTGCCATCTTCCGTTTTACTTCCCACTGCCTCTCTTAGTGACTAGCCAGGGTGTATAATCTTCTAACCTGTCTTGGCTATTTCTAAGGGAGAACACATGACCTTCAATATTTCAGAAGAGAAGCTCATACTTATTTTAAGCTCCTTGTCTTAGGCAGTAGAACTCTGAGATGTATTTTGAAACTCAAATGCTAGCACTTATTAAGAAGGCTAAACATTTAATAGCCTTCCTAATAAACTATGCAAACAGAAGTAATATGCACACCTATTTCTGGAAGGAGATTCTGAAGGAAATGGCAGAGTTTTATGGCTAAAGGTTTGTGTGTAGATGATCCCTAGAACTGTGTGTGGTGGTGCGTGCTGTTCAACAGAGCTCTCTCAATGCTGGGATGTTCTATACCTGCCCTGGCCAGTACAGGAGCCACTTGCCACATGTGACTAGTGAGCACCTGAGATAGCTAGTGTAAGGAACTGAATTCTTAATTTTACTACATTTAAATAGCCACATGTGGCTCCTAGCTCCTATTAGCATAGGTCTTGAAAATCTGCAAAGAAACCCAATTCTTGGTACTACTCCCCCCTCCTTTTTCTAACATAATAATCCTAAGTCCTATTAAAAATAGAAACTACATTTAGAAAAATGCTAGTCAATTCATCTTAGATAAGTGGCTATATAGGAAAGCAGGGAAGATGGATAGGGCTGAGGTAGTCACATGTGGGGTCCTGGTAGGCACCCCAACTGTCCCCAGCAAGGCTGTGGGAGTGCTGTAGCAGGTGGCCCCCAACCAGCTCTCAGTCACCTTCAAGAATCAGCTCAGCATTCACAGGTCACGCCTCTTGACGGAGGCGGCCCACATCCAATGACTAATCAATGACAATAAAGGCCCAACCCCTTCCCCCCAACTCAGGACAACTTTGAAGGGCCACCTACCCTGGCTCCAGAGAGTCCCATGACACTGCAGGGGAGGGAGGGGCTTCCCTGAGACTGCGTCATGGCTGAGCTCCCCGTATCCAACCCTGCTTCTGTCCCCTCCATTCCCAAGTGAGGGTCCAAAGAGGATAACAGACAAAACAATCTTGTAGTGAGACTGCCAGGAACCTAGCCGGTGCCAGTCGGTGCCAGAGTAGTTCAGAAAGATGCCACCATGGGACTCTGGAGCTGGACTGTCCGCATGGCTGGCATAGCCACCAGCAGGCTGGTGCCGGAGGAAGAGATGCACAGGCAGCACCGAGCAGCTGAGTGGGATGGCAGGCGGTGGGCAGCTGCCAGAGGGCCCCGGGAAACCACTGACAGGCCTGTGGGGCTGGGGGCCTCGTGCTAAGGTTCCTGACACTTTTGAAAGAGATGCAAAGAAACGAGAAAAATTAGTCAGCAATTAAAAAGTGTGAAAACCAGAGGACATCTCAGCAGTGTACAAAGCAGTGCTCAGCTCCTGCAGCCCGAGGGCAGGAAAGCTAGGAAGTGACTCCTGACAGGCAGAGAGTGGATCTGACAGCGGGAGGGACCCCTGGGCAGACATCTTGAATCCCTAGATTCACCTGAACCCTCTGAGTCTGCAGAGGAGGTCACCCCTCCCTGTGAGGAGCAAGTGGCCCCTTCACGCGTTTACCTGCCCCTGCACCCCTCTCCTCCCCAGGCTGCCAGGCCAGAAACTAAGGGGGAGTCCCTGCACACCAGGCCACCAATGTGCTGGGCCAGCAAAGGCAGGTGGGGACCACACTCTGAACAAGGTGTGAGAGAGCAACATGCACTGGGCAGGGGTCCTCCCAGCCAGATGCCAAGGCCCGGGGCCAAGAAGCGGGACATAAATTGGATAAAGGGGTTTTTCTAACTGGGAGCACTCTCCTAGGCTATAGGTGCTAACAACCTGGCAAAGCCCCTAAAGAGACACGAACATGCTGGTCGCTTGGCTGCTAGAGCAAGGAAAAGCAGAGCCTGTACTCAATGAGGCAGAATTGCCTCCATTCCTACAGCCAACATATGGAAACAGGATTAAAAGCTCAGAGAAGTGGACACAGTAGAGCAGATAAAACTAGAACAGCCCAAACCCAGCAGCTGACAGTGTTCCCTGGAACACCCAGAGAAACCACTGCCAAGGCCAACAGGAGAGCTGGCCAAGAAGCTGGATGCTGGCCTGCCTGCTGGCCAAAGCTAACGGACTGGGCCCACAGCAGTGGGAAAGCCTGGACTCCCAAGAGCAGACAGAGGTGAGAGCACTTAGCCCACAAAGCAGGGGGGTGCAGTTATCATAGAAGAAAAGCTGGAGGGGCCGCAGGGGGCCTGACACTCAGAATTAGTGGAAATGGTTGAGAATACTGCACCCTGAGGGTCAAAATAAACAGTCGGCCAACAAGGGCACTGGCCCAATGCTTACGATGAGAAGAAACTGTAAGCAGGAAGCTGTGGGGAGCTGCCCCAATAAAAATTCAAGATCCTTTGATCGGTTTTGTAGTCAGAGCTAGTTTCAGACCTAGAGTCAACTGTAGGAAGGGGAAGGCCCCCAGCAGAGGGACTGCAGGGCCACTGGAACTGCAGTCAATGCTTTCCACAGTCCTCATCCCAAGGGGACACTCAAGTACCGCAGGGACTGCTGGAAGAGAGGCCAGGTTGACACTGTTAACCAGGACTCCAGGGTCACCTTGGCCCATGTACTGGAGTGAGGCCTATGGGGCCAGGCCGTAAATGGAGTCCCGACCCAAGTCTGGTTCAGTGGGTCCACTGGGTCCCAGGACCCTCACATGGTCACTTGGTAGTGACTGTACAGTGGGTTCTTGGCCTGTGGAGTAAGGGCTAGCAGGCCAAGGAAGCCTTTGACTCTGTCACTGTCCTCTCCCGTCACCGAGACAGAAAATGAGAAACAACACAGCATCCTGGGAGGAAGGGCAGATACCCATACCACCCTTAAAGACCCACAGGATACAGGGATGGTCCCCACCGTATCTCCCTCTAATTCACCATACAGCCTCTGCAGAAACCAGTGGGTCCTGGGGGATGACACTGAACCACGAGAAACACAGGCAGCAGCTCCAACTGTCGCCTCCAAGCTGCTGGCTTCCTTTGACGGAGCAGATTAATGTGGCCTCAGATTACAGCATGTGGACAGTGATTTAGCCAATATGTTCTTCCCCATCTCTATCCCTAAAGAGGTCCACTATCATTTCCCCTTGGAACAATGATGTACATTTACATTTCTGCCCTGAGACTGTAATAATGTTGCTGTCTGCCGCTATAAGACAGTCTGAGCAAATGTGGAACACATGGACATGAGCTTCGTAAATGGGAACCAGCCCACTAACTGAATTAATGGGACTATACTAATCTGGCAGAATGAACAAGTGGCTGGCATACTGGAGTCTCTGGTGAAGCCCCTGCTATACAGACTGAAGGGCCTGTGCTGGGAGAACTGTGTTCAGGAACCCAATCACCTGGGGCCTGTCAGAACACCCCCTGCCCAGTAAAGGACACACTATCACATCCTGTGTCTCACCCAGTGAGAAGCACAACACCCGGTGGCCTCTTTCAGAGCTGGGGCTGCACACTGCACATGTGGTACTGCTCCAACACAAATACCAGGTGGCACAAAAGGCAGCCAGCTGAGTGGGGCCCAGAGCAGGGAAGGGCCCTGCAGCAGGTCCATTCAGTAGGGTAGGTGAGTGCTCCTTGCTGCCACACGCTCCAGGACACCCACAGCACCACTGTCAGCCACGGGGAAAGGATGCCGTGGGCAGTGAGCTGGCTGCTGGGGTTGCACTGCAGCTCAGCTGCCCACTCTGCCATCCTACTTCCACCCACCTCACCCTGTGCCCAGTTTTCCAAGGTGATGAGCCCAAGGGACATCGACAAATGCTTTCCTCCAATCCCTTACCCTCGGTGTATCCTTCAGGCACATTTACACAAGTCTCCCTTCAACAGTTGAGAGTTCAGAAGTCTTTTCATGACATTACCAACTAACAACTAAAGCCTGTTCAGTGCCAGCTCCACTGAAAGAGCTCGGTGCAGGGCCCCCCAGCCACAGCGGCTGCTGTAGAAGTCAGTGAGACTGTGCTCTCGCTCTACAGGCACCCACCCAACAGTGCGCACGTGGGCACACTCGCATGTCCACGCCCCCTGCCCACCAGTCCAGGCACCCGTTCACCAGAGCCACGCCTGTCTGTTCCCAAGCCAGAAAACCTGATAAAATGTACTACTGCAGTTACCTCGCTTAGCATGCCAATTCACAAAACAATGCAGTACAAGTGCAAAAAACAATAATCCATAGCTGTTCATATAAACACACACTTGTTTATATGAATGCTGTACAAAGCTACTATAAAAGCACGGTGCTAAAAACTTTCAGATCTGCTGTTGGCAAACAGGTGCAATATAGTAGAAAGCAGTACTTGTTTCTCAAATGTCTATGTCTCTCTTAAAAGACATCAAGAAACTAGGAATCATGATCACAGTGTTAAGGGTGTGATTTACATAAGAAAGCCCCCCACTCTAAAGAAAGAGAACTTGACTGCATTAAAAAATTGGCTGCACTGGAAATTTATTGTAAGCATGGTGGAAGAGACTACAGGGTACCACATACTGGCAGTAGTGGGGGATTACTTATTCAACTTAATGCTCAAAAATTCACAAACCATTTCAAAGCCACTTCTTTATTAATAGGAAAGAAAGCTCCAGGCAAAAGAAATGACTTAATATTGACAAAAGGCAGTTGTGTAAGAGATCATCAAGAAAAAGACTACTCCCCAAAGTGGAGCGTCCCAGGAACCAAAAATTGACCCTGGACAAGAGATTTTACTGTAAATAAGTCCTCTGAGTTTAGCTGCTAAGATCATTTCCTCACTGTGACAACAAATGCCATTGCCTGAGTCACATCTAAAATGAGGAACCAAGAAGTTAATTCTCCGAACACTGGAGAAACTGAGCTCTTCACCATCCACTTTTGCAAAGACAGAGGTAATGTGATCACAAAGCACTCTGTCATGCACAGGTGGACACCCCTGCCATGCAGAAGCAGCTGCAGACAACACGGGACAGGATGGGACAGGCATTGCTGTGTTCCCGTAAAAGTTTATAAGAGGTGGTGGACTGCATTTGGCATCGGCCATAGCTGGTTGATCTCTGTTGTCATACATCAAAGCTAACACCCATGGCAAGTTAAAATGATGTAGCATGAAGCATACAGTAAAAGCTTGACTTACCTGGCTGCGAGACTCCTGCAGATCCACCTGTAAATATTCCGGTGGTGGAGCAGGGATATTCAGAGAGGCTTGTGAAAGCGGGGCTATGGAACGGGCAAGTGACGGCTCTGCACTCAGAGCACTTGACTGACCTCTGTTCACTGCATTTTGTTCCCAAACCTGAGAATCCTTTCGTCCTGAATCATCTAATCTCAGAAGTTCAACTTGTGATTCAATGTGTAATAGTCCTGGTTGCACAGGCTCCCTTGTCAAGGCGGCGTGGGATGCTGTTTTGAGAGCTCCGTTCATCTCCTTTCCTCTACTGAACATGAAATGCTTCGTGAGGGCAGCCCAGAGTCCGTCAATCCATGGCTCAACCACTTGTTCTAAACTGGATTGTTGCAGGAAAAAAGAAAGAATGCCTAAGTTCCCCATTTAAATATATAATAAAGAGATAACAGCAGTCTGTCCATTTGGCAGAATGCTATGCAACTGTTGAAAACACTAAATATGATGACTACTCAAAATACAAAATATATTTTATGAGTAAGTTAAAACAACATTGTTATGTGCTCACTAGCACTGGAGCTATAGAAAAATACATGCACATGGAAAGTCAGAGAACAGAAATGAGGATGTTTTAGTAATAGGAATGTGATTGCTCTTCAATTCCTAAAGCAGAGTTAATAATCTTCAGAAATTGTAATTTTAAATAGGCATAATAAATTCTGATGAGTCAGAGAGAATTTACCCAAATCCAAGAGTACTCTAATATCTCAAATGATAATTCCATCAACAGAATTCCCTCTCCCCCCCTTTTTTTTTGTCTAATATGCTAATCTTTTTCCCCATAAATTATCACCAGAAATCATTCTGGATTAATGCTAAATATTTTGGCAGGGTAAATAAATAGTTCAAGCCTTCTATCAATTCTGAACAATTTTGGGGGTAAAATTCCCAGAGGCTGGCCACAGGGAAAAAAGGAATTTTCCTTTTGGAAAGCCAAATTAATCATAAGCATACTTTAAAACGTGGTAGCGTACTTACTGTAGCCACACAGGGAACCCCTTGCGACAAAGCCCCTCACACTTCTCACTTACAAAGAGAAGCCCGAGTCCCTTGGTGATGACCCAGAGCGTGGGGATTAGACCGAGTAGTTACAGACTGAAGAAAATAGGAGTTTTCACACCAAGGTGAAACACACTTAACAGACACTGGACTCGGGGTTCCTCCTCAAGGCCCGAAATAAACTCTTGACTCATGTATCCTTTGTTTTGTAGAAACGTAGACCTCCACCAAGTAGGCTACCTCCTGACCATAAGCACACAGACCCCAAACTGGGTGGAGCCAGAAGACTGATGACTAAGGTTCCTGAAACAGTCCCGTCACTGCATCACCCACAGTCAGGAGGACGGGCGTGAGCCCGCCACACACCCCACGCCCCTTCCCATAACTCTGCCTTTAAACTCTGCTTGTGAGCCCACGGCAAGTTCGGGACCTTGAGTATTAGTCACCCGGTCTCCGTGCTTGGTGCCTGCCATAATCGCCACTTTCTTTCACTACATCCGTAGGTCAGCATTTGGCTAAGCTGCCTGTCAGGTGAGCAGGCCCAGGTTTGTTTGTTTCAGTAACTTTACTATTAAGAAAGTAGGATAACTCAACAATCCCTACACTCTGAACTGAGAAGTCAGGACCTTGGAAATAACATCTTTGTCACATTTAATCACAACTCAAAAGAGGTAACACTTAAATTCTCATTCATAAAGTTAAATTCAGAGGTACAACATTTTAGACCTTGCCCTAGTACAAGGTTATAATATGCTGAAAGACATTTGCTGAATTTGTCATTACTCATAAACAAAGATCTAGTGAGAATTTAATACATTAAGCATCTAGAAAAAAAATCAAGTGTGTGTATTTTATCTGGCTAAACAGTTAAAGGCTAAATGACAGAGTAAGTTGTAGAACATCTGTTAAGATTTAGAATAAACAAATCAAGAGAATTTGATGCACTGCATTAAGAGGTAATGCATGGGTGAAATAATGAATTGTAAAACAAGAATAAATTAATAGAAATAGAAACTATTTTCTGGTTGGCATGGTGGGAAATAGTCATTAAGAGAGCTAAGGAGTGCAGTCAGCCAACACAGCTCCCCATCTGCATTCTCTATCAGTGATCACCCTTCCCAGTGAGAGGACCTGCATCTACTCACTGCACAGCAGACAGAAGCGCACATGCAGTCAGAGATCCTAGGAAACTGCTGATAATTACAAATACCTATGGACTATAAGAATGATAACTGTAGGGGGCATCTTTTTAAATTTCTTTCACTAGCAGATGAGATGGATGAGGCATTAAAAAAAGGTAAATCAGCTATAAAATAAGTAAATCAGGATCCAGCTGATCCTGGGTTCTTGAGCTAAAAGAGATGGCAAACAAATATGACTTTCAAGGTGAAGAGTTTCAGTGCTAAGTCAAAAGTCTCTGTTCACAAGTAAGGGTTTACCAGAAATGGGAAGAGAAGTACGTTGCCCTTACCCCACGCAGTCATCTGCATGTCCAGTGTTGTAGAAACGCTGAGCACCAAGCTCCTGAAGTCGCTTATCAATTATTTTCCCCCCATTACAGAAGTACGTGTATTCTGAATCACCCAGACCTGAAGAGCCCAAACAAGTTATTAGCACACAATAAGGTTTAAATTTAAAGATATACAGATCAATAAAATATTTAAGCCAATACCATTCCATGTTCTTATTGATGGGAGTAAGAAATAATGTACAGCTTCACATTTTGTTTTCTCTTGATTGACACTATGTAAATATCTTCAACTTCATAATGTAAAAGTACCTACCACATGGAAACAAATACTTCGACCTGTTAACAGAAATATACTGCATTTTTGTTCCCATGAATCTGCATAAAAATCTGGAAATCTTAAAACATGAATTAAGTTTAAAAAAAAGTTATCTTTATTTGCAGACTTTTCTGATCTAGTGCATGGGTCTGCAAGCTGTAACCTGGGGGCCAAATACCACTGTCTTTCTTTGTAAATAAAGTTGTCAGCAAAGTCCATGTGTTTGAACATCGTTTATGGCAGCTTTCAAATTGTAAGAGCAGAGTTAAGTAGTTGCTATAGAGACCCCATGGAAGGCAAAGCCTAAAATCTTTACCATCTGGTCATTTACAGAACTTACAGACCCATAAGCTAGAGCACAGAGAGAAATATCTGCAACTTAAACAATCATTTGCTGTTTCATGTTGGGTAAATTAAAAACTTTCTGTTTCCTGGTAAGAAAGTGGACTAATATTTTCAAACTTGGTCAAGAATTTAAAATTACAAGCTTTAATTTCTCAGTTGTCTAATCATCTCCATGTAGCTTCCCATCAGTAGCAGGGTGAGCAATCTGTGGGTCCAGATACCGCCTAAGTCAACTAGAACAGTTAGGACAGGCTTCAAGCTTTCCTTTACAAAAATTTTTTTCAGGAAATTTTAAAGCAATACATACATGTTCACGCTTAAAAATAAAGGAACTAGAAAAAAATTAAAAAGTTTTTTTCTACTGTCATACTGACATTCTACTGTCATTTCTTTGGTCACACTGAATCCATAGCGAACTTGCCCAGGGCTGAAACCCATTGGCAAGACACCTATCTTGCTGAGCTCGTCATTCAGATCCTGTATCTTAATATTTTTAAACTGTATTTCACAGAGCCTTCTACCTTTGTTTCTTAACTTGGAATACATACTAGAATCACCTGGGAGCTTTAAAAAAATGATGCTAGGGCCGTACCTGAGAACAATTAATCAGAATCACTGGAGGTGGGCCCAGTAACAGAATTTAAGAGAACTCCCCCAGGTGACCCTGCAGTGCGGCCAACACTGAAAACCAATCCTAGAGGAACAGTTCTTTGGGAAGCTAGCCGATCCACCAGGGAGCTTCAGACAGCACATAGGGTAGCTCCTTCAGGGACTGGTGCAGCAGGGGTTCATTTATTCAAGGGTTGGGTAGGGCCCAACCATTAATGTCCCGAAAATGTTTCATGGTTGAATCTGACCTGTGGTTAACGAGTCAAGGGGTTCTACAGAGCTCCTGCTGGGGATGAGCACTGGGAAGTTACAGAACACTGCCATCATTTACATTTATGTTATATATATTTATATAAAAAACCAAAAAGGACAAAACCCATACAACTATGTATCATAGTTTTGAAGGACACAGATACCAGAATTAAAGCTGGTAACAACTGACTGAGCACAGTTAGAGTGGAAAATACAGTCCATACCCAGGAGTCCATACCACAAGTGAGCAAAGACATCAACTGGCAGCGTCTTGTCCTGTATGTCCTTGACGAACTTGCGGGCTGTGTCAGGCGGTTCTCCGGTGCCCGTGGTAGAGACCACAATAACAAGAGGCGCTGTTTCCGTTTTTAGGTCATACTACAAAACAAGGATGTCATGTCAGGGATCTGCTGCCACACGGTTTTGACTTAATGCGTCACAATCAGCTTAGTTTCCTCCGTCTTGAACCCGTCAAGTGTGCTGCATGTGGCATAAGGACAGAGGGGTACACAGAGCATTTTAAACTTGGAAAAGTGTTGCCCACAGAAAGTCCAGGGGGAAGAGGGGAAGGGCTCCTTCAGATCTCCAGAAAGCCAAGACTATCTTCAGTGGCAAACTAATCAGTTTTCAAGTCTTACAAATCAAGTTCCTTCATTCTACTTCTCACCTAAGTTCTCACCTAAGTTTACGTTATCAAGAGAAGCGCTTCAATGTTTCTATTTATAATGACCCTGAGAGCTCCACTGCTCACAAATACCATCTAATCCGGCTCCAAGGAATATATTGTGGACTGAAGACCAGCTTCAGTCTTCATGGTGATACAATAGAAAGGATGTCAGCTAACATTTTACCAGGCGATTCAACGCTTACAGGACACTTCAAAGCTGTATGTTAAACTCTACACACCTGTTAAAGTCACATCACCTGCAAAAGGACTACCATGGTCAAGAAAGTGAAGTTCTCTGTTCGAACTTGGATCCAAAACTGGAGAGAGCATTCAGCTGGGGAGAGCACCCAGCATGACTACTGTGGTATTTAAAAACAAAACTGACTAATCACCTAACTTGCAAATAGCTGCTGGCCTAGGTAGTGAGATGACCCCGAGGGGCCAAATCACTTTGCTTTGGTTTGTAACTGATTCAGATAACATTCCATCACGTGAAATCCACAATATAAACTTACTCTGAAGTTTCTGGAGAATTTAGAGTTACAGAACCTGTCAATTGGTGGTGCTCTATTGGGTGAGAGACTAAGTCTGGACTCATCCTGGCCCTGCTGAATAAAGGAACTAGATTTCCTTCTATGAGCTGAGTTTATAAGTCACCTGTGCTGCCAAGAGCCTAGTCTTCTGCAATGAGAGATGTGGGGGAGGCCACAGGAGGTTTGTGAACTTGGGTGAGAGTGTACCGGCAAGGTAGTTTTTAAAGTATGTAACTGAATTTGACTGATCAGTGGCTGGCACATCGTCTTGTACTTGTATAAAAGTCCCTGATAGTTGCTATGGCCTGAATTGTATAAAACAGTAGAACCTGGAGGTCTCAACCAGACTGAGAGAAGAGAGATCTGCTACGATCTCCTTTATCCTCAGATAGGAACTTCTGCAGAGACTGATGTAAAAACTAGATTCTGACCTAAACAAGGTGAGTTTTCTCTAGACCCTTATGTTTCTACTTTAAACTCGATTTCACAAAAGAATTATATGGCCCTTCACATGGAGGAACTCTGACATGAATGGCAAGGTCTTCATTTTGGGGAAATACAAATGGAGCACTGGGACTCATGAGGTTAGAAAGCTCACAGATGCATGTGAACATACACATCTCACTTGTTCGCACAGCCACCCCATGAGATAAACAAGGCACAGACAGTCCATTTATGGATGACAAGTACTTATTTGTTTCAGGTTTTGAGACCCTTTACTCTAATTCAAATGTACACTTATATTTTTAAAAAGATGGCAGGAATCTAACACAGTTGATAACATTTCTGAGGGTGTAAGAAAAAAAAAGGATTATGGTGGCATTTAGCATCCTACTTTGTTGTTTAACATCACCTCCCAAAATATTTTAAAGCATAGAACACGGTAAAAACCACATGAGTAGCAGCTCTTACCTTATCTGACTCACTAATACAGTGAAGATCTGCAGCAAATCCATGTTCAACTGCTTTTTCATATATTACTTCGGCGATGGCCTTTGCCTGTCCTCGCTGTGTAGCATAGAGTAACAAAAACCTCCTCATTACCTCAAGGCACACACTGGAGCTGCAACAGTCACACTGAAAAATGGGAAAGGGCAAAGGGATTTCCTTTTAAGTACTAACATCCTGCAGGTATTAGTTTTCCATCATAATCTTTTTAAGAAGATTCCAACAGTAGCCACAGATAATATGAAACTGACTTCTCTGAATTTGCTACCATTAGTTCTCTAAAAAAATGAAGAATTCATCAACCCAGGGAGAACACAGGAATGAAGCGCTAATTCCGTGGCTCAGAAATCAGATTCTGGGGGTCGGTCATGCACAACTGTAGAACTTAAGGCAAGTTTCTCAGCTGATCTGTGCCTCAGTTGCCCCACCCTTAAAATGGGGATAATGATAATGCCCACCTGACAAAGATGTGACAGACGCAAAGCACCTGCATAATGGCTGAGACACAGCAGCGCTCAACAAATCTTAGATATTAGTTTTCTTGAGAAAAGTGAAAGTAAAATTACCATTAAAATTGTAGGATTCTTAGTTTCTACTTTATCCTAATGCTAAATAAACCAGAAAGTGCACAATAATTTAACTGAGTGAATAGAAGGATAAATGAGTAACAGAAAGACACTACACATTTACCGCTCCACGAGAACTGTCAAAGGATAGCGACGGAAGCATCACCAATTATTATCGGAGCTAAAAGACACTTACTGCAGGCCCTTCAAGAACGAATCCCGCGGTCCGCCGCCACCCTGCAGTCAAGCTGCCCCCGCGCCCGCAGGCAGGTCCCCGGAGCCCGCACGGCAGGGTCGGGGGAACCGAGGCGCAAGACCAGGACCGCGCCCGAATGTTCCCGAGTCCCCGCGTGCTCTCCGACCCCACGCCTCGCGGGGCCCTGCATCACGTGTAGAAAAGGGTGCGGAACGGAGAGGCCCACGGAGAAGGCCCGCAGGACTCGCTTCGCGCGTGCTATGCCACGGCGAGGGCGGACGCGCTCTGGGAGGCGCCCCAGGCCCAGCGCCGCGCAGCCCGCCGACCTGGGGCCGCCTCCTCTCGGGCCGGAGACCGGCGGGCAGCCCACCCGGGAACCGTAGCCTACGACACTCACCTGCGGGCGCCCGTCCGGGACACCCGGGACAAGGTAGGAATTTTGTCTCAGCTCCCACGCTTGCGCAGACAGTCGCGGCTCTCGTGCGGGACTCCCGATACCAATAGGAAGCTCGGGAGGGGAGCTTAGCCAATCACAGTGCGCCGGACGTGGGGCCGCCTCCCGTCTCCGCGCTTGCGTCAAACTGTCTGGGCCCCTTGGCGTACGGAGGCCCGAGAGGTTCCCATGGCTTCACGGCTACTCGGAGCTGCGGCGCGCTGAGCGCGGTAGGTGTCCAAGCGGGTTTTGAGCTCCGCTGTTGGACCCGGGGTGCGTTGCTGTGTCGCCCGCCCACCCGGTGCTTGAGCACTGGTACCCCGGACGCCAGGTCTGGGGGCGCCCAGCTCGTGGTGTCCTTTCATTTCACGGAGGGCGCGGCCCCGCTGTCTTGCACCCTCGTCCCCGAATCTCACCGGCGAGTTTAGATCTGACGAGCCGACTACTTTCCCCACCTACTGACCCGTATCGTTTTACTTTTTTAAGATCCTGCTTTTTTCATTTTGCCAGCGAGACACCTTTCTTCTCCAGCCTTGGCCAAGTCATGACTCTGAGGGGAAACCAACCCTAGGGCCAAAAAGCGTGCTCTTTACCCTTGCTTTGCATTGATCCACATAATTTGTGGCTCCTTTACCCACTGCCCCTTTTTGAGTATATGTAACCAAAAGCAGTTTCTTCCGTCAGCCAACGTGTACGATCTCCACTGCCTGAGTTTGAATCTCATCTCTGCCACTCACTAGCTGTGTAAATTGGACCAAGTAACTTCCTTGTGCTTGAGTTTCCTCTTCTGTAAAAGGACGGTAGAAGGATGTAACTGAGTTGTGTTGCGGGGAAGGTTAAGTTAGTACAGGGAAAGTACCGCAGTACCTGACAAATGATAGCCATCATTATCCTTAGACGCCAGCCACTTCTCTAAGCGCTAGGTTGCAGGGACTTTGCTCTTAGGTACTTCATTTTAGTGCTAAACTTATGTGACACTTCTTATGGATACTTATCTTCGTTTCATAAGCATTGATGTTGCTGAGTCATGTTCTCAATATATTTGACCCTGTTTTTTATTCTATAGGTATAAGTCAAGAGGAGTTGAGAACTGATGGCATGGCTTTAATTACTTTGCGGAGGAACCTTTGTCATTTATCTGATTTTTGGTTACATGGAGCTTTGGCTGCTGTGAAAAATCCACCTGTAAATCATGTTCACAAGGTAGTCAAGGAGCACCTGTGTCCGTGGGTCTGCTCACTACAACCTGAGCCCTTCAGGGTCAGGTTCCATCATCCCTGTTGTAAAACGTTCCATTCAGAAAATGGAAATAACCATCCAGTCAGTGAGCTAGTTTACTCTGAAGTACATGATTGGGACAAGCTTGAAGGAAATCTTAAAAGGGTGGATGAACAGATATTTTACAAGACACTAAACAACATGAGCTCATCAGAAGAAGTGTTAAGTTTTATAAGCACACTGCAAACTTTGCCAGATACTCTGGCAGCAGGAGCCTTACAACGGATTTGTGAAATGGAAAAAAATCACAGTGACCAAAGGCCGCCAAAAGAAATATTAGAGAATAGTGTCTTTCGAGCTTTATGCGTTCAGTTCGAACAGGAGCCCTCGAATCTGTCAAACACTGGCCTGGTGACTGCTCTGCAAGCTCTGATTCTATTGTGTGTGGACCCCCAAAGTAGCCTGTTACTGAACTTGGTGGCAGAATGCCAACATCGTCTCAGAAGGAGCGACCTAGGAATTCACAATCTCTGTATTCTTGGGGAAAGTCTGATTAAACTGCAAGGTCCAGGTTGTGGAACCCTCGAACTGATAATAGATCAACTTCAAGGTGAAAAATTGGAAAAATTTACCCACCAGGATATTATGGCCCTTTATAGAATACTGCAGACATGTACTGAAAAAGTGGACCAATATCAGACATTTCTAAATAAGATAAACAAGTTTTCTCTGTCAATAGTTTCCAACCTGAGTCCTAAATCAATAAGTGAGATGCTCACTGCCCTAGTGGTTCTTGATCAAACTCAGGCACTTTCTTTGGTTATAAAATTGGGTAAATATGTTGCGAGGTATATCCCTCATTTTACTAATGAAGAACTAGGAAAAGTCTTAGAGGCTTTCATATACTTTGGGTACAGTGACATATTTTTTACAGATGCTCTGGAGCAACATGTGACTTCACTCTGTGTCTCTTTGGATCCTGAGACTATCAGCAAAGTCATGGAGTACTGCACTAGTAAACTGATTCTTTCAAAACCCATCCTCAATACAGTGGCAGAAATTTTTGTTTGCCAATCAGAAAATTTTTCACCTAGTCAGATATCTGAGTTAATTGAACCATTTGGAAAACTCAATCATTTGCCACCAAATGCCTCTGCTTTATTCAGAAAGCTAGAAAATATGTTACTCACTCATTCCAATTATTTTCCACCCAAAACACTATTGAAACTTCTCCATTCATGTTCACTTATCGAATGCCATCCTGTCAACTTTATGGCAAAAATATTCAGCCCTTATTTTCTTCAGCAGTTACAAGGTGAGTTGGTTATAACTTCTGAGAGTCGAAAAAGTAACTTTTGAGCTTGTGATGTTTTCAAATCACCTATGTACCTTTTACATTGAACAAAGGTTTGCCATTATTTTTTCCTCCACAATAATCTGAAGAAGACATCTGAAGTTGCAGACGGTAGCATGGACACAGAATTAAAGAATGACAGAACATTGCCTAGAGAGAGAAAATAGTTTGGGTAAACAGACTGCTGCCCTAACTGAGAAAAAACTGTTCTTGTAGAGATGTGACTGCAATCTAATAGTCATGGTAAGATGCTAGAATCTTGGTGAGAAAGCAACTGTAGAACTCCCTTTTTTGAAAGATGGTACTCATCTTAATTGAAGGCCACTCAAATACATCAGATTTCTGTGTCTCTGTAGTTAAAGGAAATTCCCACTAATTCTACTAATATATTTTGTCACTTTTAATTGTATTCTGCAGTTAGGAGCTTGAGTTCCTAAAAGTCAGGATGAGATTGCATTAATGGAAAGCAAGAAGGCATAATTAATTCCAGCAAGTTCTTTTCCTAGTGTCATTTCAAAGTACATTACATCCGAGGTGATAAATGAATGCTGTACACTCTCGATGTTCTTTTCTCTCATTACCCATAAACCAAAATTCAAACTTAACTATTACTGGATGCTCTTTATTTCAGGGGAAGAATCCTGTTTGGACAGAGTGTGCCTAGTGCAACTGACCCAACTTTTCTTAACATCGGTCCTAGAGTGCCCTTTCTATAAGGTAACAGCAGGAGCTGTGTTGCTTCATTTCCCATGGAGCAGTTGGCTTTTGTACCCCACTGAAATCTTTAAAGTTACTTTTCTTTTGGTCTGTCTCAGTAACCTCAGTACAAAGCAGAATTTTTGTTCATTTGGAGTTAGTAGCCAGCAGGCCACCTTTTCTTTGATAATTTGACCCCACTCCTTTTTCTGATCCTTGCAGGACCTATTTCCTGCTGTGTACATTTTTACCCTGTGCTCCAGGCATGCATCATGGCCTGCTAGATTCACTCTGAGGCTTCCTGCAGTAGGGTCCTAGCACTCCCCAGAGCTATGGGGTATAAAAGTATTAATCTCTGGATTGAACAAACCCTAAATTATTTCTTCGTATGTTCTTAAGCCACTCTTACCTGAAAGTTTCATGTAGATGGACTTCCCATCTAGTCCTCTAAAGACTCATTCTCATAGCTTTATGAGACTCCTTGTGTAGAATCCGAAATGGCATCTCCAGACTTGCTCAGACCTGGTCCTGTGTCCTTGACTGAACCACATTTAAGAGCAGCTCACTTTGGAATAAGGTTTCAGCATGGAAAGATACCACTTTTTTCTTTAGCAGAGCTTGAACAGACCTACACATAATGGTAAATACTAGCTAATCCCAACCTCCTCCCACTCCTGAAAGCAGTGCCCTCACAGCAGTTTTTATGCACAGATACATCAATACCATCCTTTTTCTCTATTTGCATGGAATGGGACTATTCCAAGTACAATTTGCTTTTATGCTCAATAAACCATGGACCTTGGGGGGCAGTACAAAAGATCAACTGTATTCTTTTTAAGATATTTTAAGAAACAAAAATTTTGTGGTATTTTTCTACCATTTTACCATTGACAGGCTTTCAGGTTTTTTCCAGCATTTAGCACAATCAACAGTGCTGTAATAAACATCCTTATATATCCCTTCTTATTGCTGTCTTAACTAAAGAGACTAGATTCCTGAAAGTGGGATGACGGGGTGCATTTTTGGTGGGCACTGACAGGCTTTCTCCCTAGCAGTTACAGATGGCACTGTTGCCAGGAGTGAGTGAGGGTGATACGTCTCCCCAACTTCTATTGCAGTTTGTTATTAGTCCCTTTAATTTTTCTCATTTGACTCAATGAAAAAGAGAATCATGTCACAAGTTGCATATTAATCAGTAATGAATTGATCCTGTTTTCACATGTTTATTCATTTCCATTTGTTATAAATTGCCCTGACTCGGATTTCTATTGGTTGCCTTTTTTTTTTTATTTTTTTTTTTGTCCTAGAACACATTGCAAAGAGATATTAGATATTCTGTATATTGTACATATTTCCTCCTGGTTTGTAATTTTTAACTTGGTTGGAGGGTTATTTACCATTGTTTATAAAGTCTCTGCTACATGGAAATAAGTTTACTATAGCCAAGTCTATCTTTTATGGCTTCTGGGTTCCTATCTCACTTAAGAATTTTTTACCACTTCTAAAGTAATACAAACATTTTACTAGATTCTAAAAAATATTTTCCTTACTATATTTTGCTCTTTAATCCACTTGGGATTTATTATTTTCTGTGATGTGTGATGGAAATTAGTTCTTTTCCAGATGGATAAGCAGTTGTACCATTTGTTACAGTTATCCTTTTCTTAATACATTGAAATGTCACCTTTACATTTTCCATTATTGAAAACTTTAGCTGAGTGTCCTTAAGGCCCTTAAAGTAGTTCTAAGGCTTAGAGGTCAAGAAACCTCAACATGTTTCTTGAGCTGTAAGATGTTTTCTTCCTTTCTTTTTTCCTTCCTTCCTTTCTGTGAGTACTTACTACTTTTAAACCACATTTAAAAGGTATTTTGAATGACTGGACTTGAACTATAACAAGAATATTTTGCATTGTCATTTAAGAAAGATACTTGTTCTATGTCCTAGAAAAGTATCATACTTGTAAAGTAATATATATATATAAATTTTTTTTTTTGCAAGTCTACAGACATTTCTTTACTTGCCTAATGTTTGGGTGAAGTTTTATGTTTTTTTAATTTAATCAAGGTACATAAAATAAAGTACACAAATATTAGTGTATAGCTCAGTGAGGTTTGATAGCATATACACTCACATAACCATCACTCAGATCAAAGTAATTTTGAGCAGACTTTCATACTTTATACTTGGGTAACTTCCATTGTGTTTTGGTTTCATGTCTTACTTTTCTATCTCATGTTTGCACATACAAATTTTAGGGTCCAAAACTTCTTCCTCAATTTCAAGTGAAATCATTTCTTACTCCATGCTATTCCCTGGAGACACCGGTGGATTTTCAGCTTTATAAATCTGTGATGTTTGGACTGATTGACCTTTTAGGAGGAAGAATGTATTTTGCTTCAAAAGTGTTAACACCCTATTGTTACACGATAGGTAAGTAGTAGGGAGTTTTGTGGCTGTTTACTAACTACAGTGTGCTGTCCTCTTGTGGCATATGTGGGACTTAGTAGCCCCCTGGGTCTGGAAATAGACTCACTGAAGGCAGATTGGAACAGCAGGTGAACCACAGGGCTGCAGAGTCTGGATCGTGGTGTTGAGTCCCCTGTGTTGGCACACGGTGGTGGAATGTCTGGACATAGCACTTGACCATTTCCTGTTTGCTCCTCTGTGACGAGAGCACAAGGAATAGGGACTAGATGAATGACGTGGAGGAGGACCTGGAGCACAGTGGGTGCTCGCTAACAGTGAGCTGCTGTGTACGCTAGGCCAGTGCTGACCAACTGAGTAGCCAATAGTGCATGGGGCTGTTTAACTTTAAATTAATTAACATATTTAAACATTTGAAGTTCAGTTCCTCCATCACACTGGCCACACTTGAGGTGCTGAGCAGCCACGGGCAGCACAGGTATGAACTCTTCCACCATGGCAGAAAGGTCTCTGCATAGTGCTGGCCAGGAGTCTAGGTCCTTCTGCCTTACAATTTTTTTTTAAATGGATGAATAAAAAGAAATAAATGCAAAGAGGACAGTGTGGTCAAATCTTACCCTACAGGCTTCTTTTACAAAAGTTATGGTGGCAGTATCTGAGGCAAGGACGGGGTCCGCCCAGGCCAGGGGACCACACGTTGGGAGCAGGAGGCCTCACCTGCCATGGATGCTCTGGGAGCTCGAGTAAGGAAAGCTTTCAGTTGTGTAGGTGTCTAACTTGGCTTAAGTTAAAGGATTTTCTTCACTACCAGGAATGAAAGATTCCCGCCGCTTATCAGGAGAAAGAGAAAATGCCTGTTCTTGTCACACCCTGGAGAACCTGAGGACCCACTCTGTTTTAGTGTGGTTGAGCCTTCTTGATTTAAGGCTGCCTGGTTGATCAGGCCAGTCAAATCACAATTCTCACGCTGTCTGGGGTGGCCGTTACTTTGCTGACTTCAGTCCAGTTGGGAAATGCAAAATGTGGAAGAAACAAAGCAGAATGAGGAAGAAAGGGAGATAGGGCTGGTGAGGGTATCACAGGAGGAATTTTTCCTTTCTTCTCTCACCAGATGTTGAACTTAAGTTAGATGAAGAAGGATTTGTATTACCATTCAAAGTTCATGAAGATGTACATAAAAGGTAAAACTGCCATGATTTTTATAGTGCTTGGCAAGGTTAATAAACAAAGATATTATCGTAAGAAGGTATAAAAAATAGGATTCTGTAAATTAAAACACTACTTTGCAGCATTACCATTTTTGGGAATTCCTTTTAACATGAACATTAATAGTAATCAAATCAAGTGTTTTTTCATCAAAGGATAGCACATTTGTGATTTATCTGAAAATAAAATGGCATGTAGGAATAGCCAAATCCAAACTAAACTTAGACAAAAGTATATAAATATTTTTGGATTGTTTTAAGAATTAAGTTTCTCTCTGATTTTTTAGGGTAGCACTGTGCATTGATGGTCCGGAAAGATTTTGTTTGAATAGCAGACATTTACTGGGAAAGGAAGCTATTAAACAAAGACACCTTCACTTACTTGGTTATCAAGTTGTTCAGGTATGATTTCTCCTATTTATTTTTTCCATAAGCAATTTCTAGTTCAGATTTGCTTTTTCTGGGGCACTAAGAGGTCTGCCAGCCCAGAGGACCAACAATATTATGTCTCATTTAAATGCCTCATTTAATTAGAATTACCAACTTACTGGAATATTTGTTTCCATTTCCGCTGATATAGTAACTAAAGATGGACAAGGTGACTCATCAAAACCAGGGGCTTAATCAACATTAAATGTTTATGAGCCTGTTTGCATTTATGCCAGAGGCCACGTAGGTCTTAGGAGACCACAGTGCCTGCATGGAGCGTCCCAGTGCTCCCAGTGGTCCACCAGTGCGTTCTCCTTTCCTCTTCACCTTGTACATCCCCAGATTAAGTTCCTAAAACAAATCGTGCCAGTGTGCGCTCAGAACCTCTCTCGCTTCCTTACTGCTTACTGAATAAAGTAAGCTGGGACTCTGCTCCGAGCTCAGCGTGCCCTCCCCTGTCCCCCAGCCCCTCCATTCTCTCTTGCCTTTATCCCTTATGCAGCTTCCACCACCAGCCTGGTCTCCACCACTTTGAGTATCTAAATTCTGGTCGGTCATTGACTCCCCGCTCAGGTTCTCCCACCCTCCAATCCATAAGCTGACGCCCTCTCCATACTAGACCACCGATTTTCTTTGCACTCTATGCTTTGTATCTACTGAGCCCCTACTGTATGCCGGATGGGCACTGTTCAAGGCGCTAGGAGTGCAGGATGAATACACCCCGCCAGCTGTGTGCTTTGACCTCTGGGAGCTTACACTCTGGTGTGAGGAAGGGGGCAGCAGATAAACACGTAACCAGAAACAAGGGAATTGCAGATTATGAAAGACATGACAAATTTTCTTTTCTTCCTTTACAGATCCCCTATTATGAGATTGAGATGCTAAAATCAAAACATGAATTGGTGGAATATTTACAAACAAAACTATTTTCTCAAAATGCTGATGTTCATTGTTAATAAGGACTCCTTGCTCCAGAGCTCAGACACCGAAAGAACTTGTGTTTTCATGGGACTTAGTATAAAAATAGAGTATAATTGGTGAATTAGCCATTTACTCATGGACTGTGGTCTGGAAAGGGTCTGTCATTTTCCTTATACCATGTATATGTGTATCAGGCATAAATTTAAAGTTTTAACTTTTATTGACATTTTATACATGAAACAATTGATCGAGTACAATAAAGGAATGTAATGAATAAAAGTCATTATTTTTAAATCATGGTAATAGTTATTTGCTACCTTAAAATGTCATTTTTCTTTCAAGACCTTTGTTTCTTTCCTCTTCTAATGTAAGGAAGAAATTTTATCTCCCTTTTTTTAGAGGAAATAATATATGGTAGGAGAAGGAGCTATGAAAAATAGACGAGTAACTTGGATATAAATATGTGTAAGTACAGAATTATGCAGAAATAACCCTTTAGTTAGTAAGATACTTTATGTTAGTGTGGGAGCTTTAAAAAGTTTTTTTAATAAAGGTATAAAGACATGAAAAAGCAACTTAAGGTCCTTTTTTGAGGAGTGTTTGATTGGAGGGAGAAGCTCCTCATTTTAAATCAAGAGGGGATTAAATTGTCTTCAGTTATTGCAGATGCTTCATCCTCCTATTAGGGTCAGGTTCAAGTTTCTGGGGAGAAGAGGCTGAGGGGGCAGAGCTCGGGGTGGACTCTTGAGCACTCGCACCAGTGACTTTCGACTTCAGACAGGAGTCAGGGCTCCTCCCCCATCCCTGTCTCTGTGCTGAGTCGAGCTGGACACCACTGCAAAACGCTGTGTACATTGCCTAGCCAGCCCTCTCACTTAGGGATCGCTGCCATTTTGCAGAGAAGTGACCAGCCCCAAGAGGATGGACACCCTGCCCAGTATTCCGTTGCTCACGAGGGGTTGTTGAAGCCTTGAAGCATGCACACAGAATCTAGCCTGGGTCTGAGTTCCAGCTTCCCCACTGGCTCTGAGTGACCTCAAGCCTCAGTCTCCTCAGGGATAATCATAAATAATAACAGGGTTGCGAACAGTTACCTAGGACTATTGCCACAGAGTCCCACAAACTGGGTGGCTTATAACATTGATATAACTTTTTCAGGGGGACACAATTCAACCCAGAGCAGATTGAAATGAGCATTAGCATATGTGAAACACTGAGAAGGTGCCTGGGACAGGGAGCACCCAGTCCATGCAAGTATGAGTGGCGTGAAGCTCTGTCCCTTCATGCCGTGTTCTTCGCTTTACCTCTTTAGGTCTGTTTATCTCCGGAAGAGGAAAATGGGCTCTAAGGTAATTCTATAAATTGTATGCCTCTAGTTGCAGAGAAGGAAGAGACAATGGAAGCAAAGGGAGACTGAATGGGAGATGTGCCGTGGGTTCACCTATGCCCCTTGCAGCTCCCTCCCAGCCTGCAGGCCAACCCCTTTGCCTTGTTCGCCTCTCCCCGTGAATCCCTGAGTATTAAACAGCCCTGAAACGTGGTGGGGAGGTGAACAGCTTGCCAGTTAAAGAGGAGACAACTGAATAGCCACACGAGGCGATAGTAACGGTCTTAGAAATGCTGTGGAGGAAACAACCAGCCTAACATGTCCTTCCTCCACCTTCTCGGCTTACCTGAATCCTTCTCATCCACCATGACCCTTCTGGTCGCTCTAATGGGAATTGGATGCTCCTCCCTCTGCACTTGTAGTTCCTCTGCTGAGCCTCTGCCTCTTTGAGTTCTCCCCACCCACTTGCCTCATTCCACTTGTTAGGCAGAAAGGCAGAAATGAGCAAATGAAAAGGAGAAAGGGCCCCCCAAAGATGACTCAGGGGGTTGATCAGATAAAGCCAGAGAGCCAGAAATGACTCAGTTAATTAGATGAAGCCACAGGGTCCAAGAGTGACTCAGGAAATGTCCAGGGTCCCCTGAGGTACAGGCATAGCACAGCCCCCATCCTCATCTCACCAATCAGAACAAGCCTAGAGAGCTGACAGCTGTCCATCAAGCACCTCTCTGCTCTGCCAAAACCACATAAAAGGAGCCTCAGAATGAGCATCTGGGCCTGTCAGGTTAGGCAGGCTCGCTCGATTACTCCATGCAGAGTGTATTAATACTCACTTTGCTTTCTTGACTTTGGTCTCTTGTCTCACTATATCTGACTTCCCTGTGACACTGAGCCAAGTCCTTTCCTTCCCAACACACTCCCTCCTTCACCAAGCCTGTATAAAGAGCTCTGGTCAGCTGGGCCCCACTGAATGCTTCCAGAGGAAGGCAGAAAAGAGCCCCTGGCCTCCGAGGGCTAGGAGCTGGGTGAGATAAATGAGCAGATAATTACAGGGACTAGCCAGCTGGCAGCCTGAAGGATGCGCAAGGTTCTGGGAGTGCGGGCTTCAGGCCCTCCAGGGGAGTACAGGAAGGCTTCGGGGGAATGATTTGTGAGCTGCAGTTCAGAAGGAAGGGAGGCAGGCCTGTGTGAATGGAGAGCATTTCTGGCCTTGCATGGCCAGAGCCCAGCGTGAGGCAGACAGGGCAGTGACAGAAGAGGAGGCTAGATGTAACTCTGGCACTGCTTGTTTGGAAGCAAATTTTAATCCTGAAAACATGCATGTGAAAATCATGTAGGCTAATAAGTAGATAGAAGGTTTCTGCTTTCACCAGTTGAAGTGAGTTTGATGACCTTTGTAAAATTAAAAAGCCAAATTCTTCTATACTGAATCCTCAGGCTGCTACATTGTAATGTTTACCTATTCAAGCTAAAGTGATACGATCTTGCTAGTTAAAATTACAGATCCAGTCTCTCAGCACTTGTTGCCATATATCCACACTATTTTGTGATAAGGCGTGATCTTGCTGTAGTTTTTCAAGAGTAAAATCAAAGAAAGAGAAAAAGCAAAGAAAAATGAGTGAAAAACTTTCAACTATAATCTGGGCAGTACAGTGATAGTCTTCTGGCTTACCTCTAGAGGGTACCAGGTTGCAGCCATTTATTGGGCTGCAGCAGCAGGGAAAAAAAGGATCCCTTGGAGAGATTCACACAGGCCTGCCTCCCTTCCTTCTGAACTGCAGCTCACAAATCATTCCCCCGAAGCCTTCCTGTACTCCCCTGGAGGGCCTGAAGCCCGCACTCCCAGGGTCCTGTGCGTGTGGGGGGGAGGTGGGGGGGGAGGGGCAGAGGCGTGACAGCTCTGCAGGAGTAGCAGGCAGTTTCTTTCCCTTCCTTACCCTGCCTCTGAGGAAGGGCGGTGCTTTGCCAGAGCCAGGCCCGCCTCCGCACAGGGCAAATGGGGCACTGGGACCACACAGGCGAGGCCTGCCAGATCCTGCCTGCCACTCCCCGCCTGCGCCTGCAGTGAGACTTGGTAACGTTTGTTAGATGGAAGAAAGACTAGGAAGGAGCAGACCAGCGTATTGGATAGAATTATGGGGAAAGAAGGAAGCAGTCAGTTCCCCCTAAAAGAACCACGCCCACTGGAAGACCCTGCACACATGTCGAGAGGGCATCCTGGTGGTGATGTGGAGCAAGGAGAATTGGGCTGCAAATGCTGAGATTGCACCAAACTGGAAATGTACCCCGACCCATCTGGAATCTAAACACTAATGTAAGATAGTGAAACAAGGTGCACCTTGTAAAGTGTTAGGCCAATGCCTGTGTGGGTAAAATTGTAGTATTTCCAGAATACTTCACCTGGCTTTAGTGCATCTGCATATCAACAGGCATTCCTCAGGGGGTGGAGATTAGTTCATCTCCGTATCTATGTGTAAGTTACCTGGGCAACTGAAGGCTTATCTGAACCTGAGAGGTTAGCGGGAATGCTGGTTTGCTTCTGCCAGAGTAGGAGAGAGAGACAGGCCTGGACTGCAGTTTGTAAGCAATAAACATGTTTTAAACTCTATTTCTCCCTTTAACTGATTTTGTTTTTAGAGGTATTTTGCCCCAGGATTTCCTCTCCCCAGAATTACAGCCTGGAATACAGTAACTGCTCAGCAAGTCCATGTGCTGTTGCTGTTATTGGAGCCTGTGAATACTCTGTTCTCCATCCAACTTCATTATGACAACTCATGGTGAGGAGTATGTCAAGAATGCTTAGTAAGGAGGAACACCGGGTAGTACTCCTGGGGGTACCACACTGAACCTGTGGCAACTGTTTTTGTTACTTAGCATCAAGGTCATTGTTCTGAGAAACCTCATTGTAACTCTGGGGAAATGAAATACCTCCCCAGTCCCTGGCATATAACACACACTATTCATAGGTCTTTTTGATATTTGGGGTTCTGACATTTGCAGAATAACTCTACTGCTTTTACTTTCATTATGGAAAACTTTAAACATATAGAAAGAATAATATAATGAATCCATGGGTCCCTTTATCCAGTATAAAAAATTACCAAAATTTTCTAATCATGTTTCATCTCTTAATTGCCTTTTTTATCAGCATGTATGTAATAAAATCCAAGCTATCACATACTTTTATCTTAAATACCTTATTATGCATCCATAACCAATAACCATTTTTTTCCTTTTTATCTACTACCCTACCGATATTACAACTAGCAAAGCGAACGGTTATTCCCTACAATCATTTAATACCTGGTGCATAGTCTGAGTCTCCAAAGTAATGGGCCACCTGTTGGTTTAGTTTGAATCAAGATCCAAACAAAGGCTGCATAGTTCTTTTCCATGTGATACCACCAAGTCTTGAGTCTCTTATGTCTGTAACTACCCCCTCCTACTTAATCTTCCTATCATTAACTTATTGGAGACATTAGATCGTTTGTCCTGTAAAATGTCCCACATCATGGATTTGGTTTATCTAACTTGTTCCTCTAGCTGCTGTATTGCCATTAAATTAAAAATTAGATGGAGAGGCTCACTTTCATTCAGCTTAAGTTTTTCCGTCAAGTGAGCCTGCTTCAGGGGTGGCGCTGTGTGTTCACTTTCCATGCACCATAACATCCCACTGTCCCCTCTTAGTGGTATTTGTTAAGACTGACCAGTGAGTTACTAACTCCCCACTGTAGCTCCCTATCAACTTTCCCCTGATGGTTTTCAGCATCTGTTGATGATTGTTGCCTAGGTAACTTACTCCACTAGGCATTTAAAAAGGATGTCCTAATTCTATTCCTTCTACTTTAGTAGCTTGTATTGATCTGTGAAGAAGAAATTTCTCTCTTCAACTATTTGTGTTCCCTAAACTAAGGTTTATACAGAAAAAAGAAAAGGCAAGATAAATGTTTCCTTATATCTATTTTTAGAAAAAAGAAGTGATGGTCTGCTCAGGTTTTTGTTTTAGAATATTTATCTCATGAAATTTAAGTATCTGATGTTTTCTACCACTACCATCACCTTTTTGATGCTTAAATCAGTACATTTAGATCAGTGGGAGGCCCTTCAGCTTGGTCCCTTTTTTTGTCCTTTTGACCCGGACACACTGGCTCCTGAAAACTTCTTGGCAGAACAGGATGCCCAGGCTCGTCTAACCACTTCCTGTCTGGGGCCTGGGTTTAGGCCCCTCTAAGCAGCCCTGTGCTGCAGGCTGGCAGCCCTCATTGCTAGAGTTGTCAGTATCAGAAACCTTTCACTGTACATATCGTATAAAAAAATCACATTCATTTATATTTCAAAATCAACAGGGTGAACTAAAATTAAATTTACACTTACATGTCTTGATTTGTAAGTTTGATGTTAAAGTGACTATCTTTAGGGACTCCATCAATTTAATGAAACAGCCCATAGGAAAAACCTCTTAACAAATATGCTTTCTAATTCTACTGACAACCTGCATGTCATCTACTGGGATGAAGTTCTTGATGAGGTAAAGGCCCGTCTGATTCTGCCAGGACCACTGCCCATGCTCACAACCAGGTAAGATGGTTTGGAGGGCAGCAGGGGCTCCTGTCCTGGGCCCAGGGCCATGCTGTGGGGTCAGACAGTGCTGACAGGGGGTGAAAACAGTTCAGGCAGGATATTTGGGCTTTCAGGAGCATCAGTGCATTACCTTGAGTTCCTAACACCCTTTCAAGGTGCTGGGCACACAGGCGGTTTTCTCCTAGGTCCTTTCGAATGTGTGTTTTCCATCCACCCTCTCACTCTGAACCATCAAAATATCCTACCAAATGCTGAGAAGTACTTAATGCAAGTAATTTTTGAGATATTTTAAAGCCTATAAATTAAAGTCCAATTATGGTGCGCCATTTAAATGACTTTACATTGACATTTAAAAACAAAAGACTTGTAAAAGCTTTTAAATTTAAAATGGAGATAACCTTGTTTTAGACCTCTGCATCTTCAACAGAACATTTTTAAAAAGAGAAAGAGATGCATTGTTTTAATGCATTCACAGATAATTTTCCCTGTTCTCACGACGCCACCTCAGTTAACAAAGGTTACCAGGTGAAGAGGCCATCGGCTGCTTCACGTTTTGCATGAATCTGTGTAGGTGCACTGGCTGGGAATTGCCGCAAAAGCTTTGTGCTGGCCAGGCCTCTGCCTGTCTCAGAAAGGTCTGAGAGACCTATAGGGAAATCTGTCTCGCAGACTAACTCCCCTTCCAGGTATTTCAGATCCCTTTCACAAGTACACCTGCTGGCCATGCTCCCTGCCTCATCACCTCACCCACAGCTCGGTTTTCTTGTCAGCAGGATGACTAGGGGTCTCCTTCAGCTTAAAAAGTCAATGGGTTTACGGGCACTTAGGATATACATGCCACACAAGATGTGCTGAAGGCACTGCTAATGTGACATGTGACATGCTAATGGGACATGACAGCTGCTTACTTTGCTTTCTCCATCCTGTATCAGAGTAACAGAAAATGTTCCTGCCCCTGGGTCTCTGCATGCTTACATTCTGGCCAGATGTCCATAGGAATGGCATGGGGCTTCAGCGGCAGTTGGGACTAGGCGCTTCCTCCACTCCTGTGGATGGCCAGGTTCCTGCAGCTGAAGCCAGTGTTTGCTGTCTGCTCCTGGGAGGGAGATGCAGGAAGCAGACAGCCTGCACATGAGCACAGTAGGCTGCTTACACCATCACTGGCGGGCCCACGGTCCACCTGGGCTGGAGCAGGGTGATGTGATCCACCTGGTGTCAGCCCTGGGGGCCAGTGTAAATTCAGGATGCTAGAATGGGATCTGGAGGGTGAACATCTCACAGTGCCACGGTTTTCATATGAAGCTCCGAACTGATCCGATCCCCTGTGGAGTTAACCGCACTCACTGTGCACTCTTGCACTATTAACTCACTTCTGTTGAGAGGAGGTATGCACTCTTAGCTTTTACTTTTCCCTTATCCAACTAGAACTTTGCAAGTAAAAGGTACAGACATGCGGGACTTAACCAATCAGATTCTGTGACTTTGTATCCCACTCATGTGCCAGCAAGACATTATAGGATCCTATAGGACAGGATTTTAAATAAAATAACTAAATGCTCTTGGTCATTGAAACTAGCAGAGTTTGTCCCACATGATGTTTCCTGTCTCTGCCTTGCAGCCTCTCAGCCTCACCTCTGACTGCCCCTTGGGTAGTGGCCATGCCACTAGGCTATGACTCACCTCCTGGGAACAGCATCTCAGCTCTAGGAAATGCTGTGCTTTTCTCTGTCAGCCCCAGGGCTTCTCTCACTGCAGAAGAACCCGCAGGGGAGCCTGCATAGCACTAGGCAGGAGTCCGTCAAGGTCTTGAATGAATGATCCAGTGGGTAGGCCTCAACCCAGAAGCCCTGGAAGCAGGAGATAAACGGTGCCTCCACATTGATCTGGTGAGTGATTCTGAGAAGTGAGCCCCAGGCTTCTCAGAAAGTGCTGGGCCTGCTGAGCTCCAGCTGCCCTCAGCAGTGACCTTCATATAATTCATCCTTATATTGACAGGCTGCTTTCATGCCTCGGGTCCCTCACTCCTGCTCCCTGGAATTATCTTCCCAATAAAGCAAGAGCTCCCAAGCTCTCGTCCCAGACTCACTTTTGGAGGGAGCCAATTATGGCAACTGTATTCCTTTATTTAGTCACCAGCCATGTGTTGAGTACCTACTGTGTGCCAGACTTGAGCCATCAAGATGAAAATGATATATGTAACGCCCTCCAGAGGTTGCATGAGTAACTGTCACCTGCTGAAACAAGCTGACAGTCACATCTGTATAGCTGTGGACAATGATTTGACAAGGAGATTATTTCATTCTCAGTTTTAGCTGCCTCTCATGATAAATGGTATCAACTACTTTTGCTTTCCAAAGTATGATTCTAGATCACCTACACAAAGGTTACAAAGTCTCATGACCACTTAGCTGACCTATGTCACATATTTAAAAGTGGCTGAAGAGGTTGAGAGAGGTAGTAGAGTATAATGGTGCTTTTCTGAGGACCTCTGCCAAGGGGAGAGGATGAGAGACAGTTTTCCTTCACATCTAGGAGAGACGGTGGTGCTCTGTCCCTAAGCTCCAAGTCAACCTCTCATGATGTGTTCCATGGAGCTTAGAGACATGGTGGACTGTGTCTGACCTTTATCTGATTCATACCCGGCTCACCTGTCCTTCAGCAGAGCAGAGATATGGGCAATCAGGGCAGAGAAGGCATATGGGCTCTCAGGACCTCATGTGGACCCATGGAGAGAGAGAGTGGTGGCTCAGGACTGTGTAAATCCTGCCCACAAGGACCTCCAAAAGACACAAGGAGATGCCAGCAGTGAGGTACTACCAGGTGCCTAGCACTGAGAGGTGTCTTAGTCACCAGCCTGCATCAAGGAATTGCAGACAAGAGATGCCTAGTGAATGGGATGGGGCAGAACAGCGGAGTGATGCTCCTTCAGGTGCTGAGACTTCTCCATCCAGTCCCCTGCCGCCTGGCCACCTTCACTTTCTAAGGCTCCCCATCTCCAGGAAGCTCTGCTACCCTCTTTTCTTGCTGTCCTCTGAACACACCAAAACTGTTCTGCCTCAGGGCCCCTGAAGTTGCTCTTCCCTGGGCTTTGAAGGAGTTTTCTGGACAACTGTCACACATCTGGCTTCTCCTCATCAGTACATGTTGGTAAAATTGCACTATTTCCAGAATCTCCCACCTGGCCTTAGTACATCTCCATATCAGTAGGTGTTTCCAAGGGGTGGAGGGTAGTCCATCTCCATATTAATAGGTAATTAGAGGGTGAGCAGGGCTTATCTGGACCTGAGGTTGTGTGGGGGCTCTTCTTCTGCAGCCTGGTCGTGAAAGACGCGTGACGACTGCTTGTAAGAAATAAATGGTTTTCTCCCACTATTTCTCCCTTTGATTTTGGTTTCAAAGGTACTTCGGGATTTTCCCCGGGGAGTTACAGTACATTTCAGCTCCAATACCACCCCTCACAGAGTCCCGGTTTCCCCGAGCACCCCAGGAGACAGCCACCCAGGTCTTTGTCATCTGGTTGCCTTTTTAACAAGAAAACTTATTGAATCATGAGTTTCCGCTCAAAGAACTTCAGCGAAGTAGAGACCTACTGAATTCATTCAAACGGCGAGACAACATAACCACGGCCGCAGAGGGCGCTGGAGCTCACCCAGAGCAGCTGGGTTTTGCCAGATTGGTGTCCCGCTGATTTAACTCCTGGAAGCTGTACATCTGCACTGGCCAGTGCCATAATTACTAACCCCATGTGGCACCAAGCCTTTGAACTGTGGCTAGGGACACATGTTAAAATGATAATATTTCGAACATACTGAATTAATGATTTATTTACAATTAATTTTCCCTGTGTCATTTTTACCTTTCCGGTGTGGTTAGCAGGCAGCGCTGCTCTGGACCCTCTTCAAGGTTTCAATTCCATCGCCTACTTCGCCTCCAGACTGCAAGCTCCGCGTGGACTGCTTGGTCCGCGGTTGCATCTCCGACGCAGGCACACGAGGTGCGCGGGCACGACCTGCCCCACGCCCGAGGGGTCTGTGCGCGGGGAGGCCAGCAGGTTGGTAAGCTGGAGTTCTCCAAGGGGCGCCCCCTCGACGCAGCCTCTTCGGCAGCTGGAGCTCCCCGGACCCAGAGCCAGGAAAAGCCCCGGGTGTGGCCGAGAGCGGGCAGCGCCGTTGGGGGCCTCTGCCCAGGCCCCGCCCCCAGCCCGGACCAGGCCCCGCCCACCCCGGCCCCGGCCCCGCCTGGCAGCGCGCGACCGCGGTTTCTAGGCAACTGGCGAACGCGGTTGCCGCGCAGCCTGCCGCGGGCCGACCGAGGCTGGGCATCTCGGCAGCGGGAGAGCCCTTCGCAGCATGGACGACGACGAGGAGGAGGAGATCACCGCCGCCACGCTGCGCGGCAAGCCCCGGCCGCCGCCCATCGCGGCGCAGTCCGCCTTCAGCTACGTGCCGCCGCGGCGCCTGGACCCCAAGGAGCACAGCTACTACTACCGTCAGGGCCAGGTGTGCGGTGCTGGGGCGGGGCTGCAGGGCGAAAGGAGGCTAGGGGAGCTCGGAGAGGGGAAGGGGGCGGGCTGCACTGCCGTGGGCTGGGGTGTCGCGGGGACAGGTTGCCGTGCCAATGCTGGGGATGCGCTGGCCGAGAGACCGGTTGGGGCGTTAAGATGCTGGGGTGGGTTGGCGGAGGGAGGGAGGGAGGCAGGTGGGGCTGCACTTCTGGGGCAGGGTTGGGGGAGGGAGGAGGTGGGGCTGCATCTCTGGGGAGTCGCTGGGGAGGGAAATGGCGGGGTTTTACTGCTGGCAAGCCCGGGAGGGAAGGACCAGACCCCCAGCGGGAGGCCGCTCTCCCACCCTCCCTCCGCCTGTGATCCTAGCGCCCCCTCACCTATCTTCCCGCGCCCCACCCCGATCCCTTCACAGGCAGGCCCAAACCCTGTGCAGCCCCCAAACCAAGAATTCTCTGCAGCCGAGGCTCTGACCCACCCTCGGGGTAACCTCGCCTGGCTTGCAGACTCCTCGCAGCACCTTTCCCATTAAGTGTACAGCTACCACAACCACCAGGGTAAAGCGGACCTCCCCTCCCGACCAGAGCCTGGGGTTGGGAGTAGTATGGTCAAATGGGATGAGAGGCTTGGGGCACAGAGTGTTTGGGGAGTTGGTGGGCATGCTGGATTGCTCAGCGGGGTGTTCAGAGCCATTTGGGGTGTGGGTTAGGGCCGAGTATTCTTCAGGGAAGGGAATGGGAGCCTCTGGGCTTCTCCTAGCTCCACTGGGAACAGCAAGGTGAGCCCTCCCAGGATCTGGAGGGAGGGTCTCAGGTGCACCAAGGCTGCCCAGCTGGAGGGGGCACAGGAAACCCTTGTAGAAGCCCGTCTGCAAACCGAAAGACAGCCAAAGGCCTATTTAAGCAGTCTGCAGGAATGCAGGGCTGGGAGCAGTCATGAGCTTGTGGCCTGACTCCAGCAGACCCCTGCCTGTGTGTCATAGGGACCTGCAGGCCTGTGAAGGTCACCACCATAGCCAAAGCAGGAAGAGGGGCAGAGGAAAAGGCCTCTAGACTGTGAGACAATGAACTGTTGGTCAAGCTCCTCAGTCTAGGTACTTTGTCTGGCAGTCTGGACCAACACATGCACCTCAGCCAGGAGGATCTCTTCTACCTGTTAGTGCCTCTCTGCTTGGCTTCAAGCATATCTGTCTCTGTACCCCTGGTTTGCTGGCTTTCCAAACCTCAACTCTTCACTGAGTGTTAAGACAGGAGGGGATTTAGAGCAATGGTACCCAGCCTCATTGCCACTATGGACCTATTTTTTCCTCCCATAAGCAGTAAGTTTCAACGAACTTCTTTCTGTAAACAATTTCACTTATTAAATGAATTTTATAATTTAAGTATGTAAAACTTACATCATTGCCAATTAATTTATGATCCATGCATAGCATTAATGTATGAATAAAACAGCCAAAAAGCAAGGAATCTTGATGTTTTCTGTGCTGTTGGTCTGTGCTGTTTTATTGAGAGAATATAAGTTTGGCTTCTTGACAAAATGAAAAAATTTCACAATACACCATCTGATGTGTGTCTTTGAGGGGCCCTGTTAATGACCACCTTGAGGCTACTGAGAAATAAAAGACCTAGCAGATGGGGGGGCCAAGATACATACTTTCGAGAGAGAAAAGCCAGGTTGCAGGTTGCCACTAAAGGCTCTGGGCAGATGGGTTTAGGGACACTGAAACCTTGAGTTGGGTGGATTTGTCCACCCAGCTGCTGCAGGTGTGGGTCCCACAAAAAAGCAGATCTGAACCCCCACCTCTTGAGGCATGAATAAGGGAAAAGTGCCAGAATAGAACCTGGTGGGTCCAGTTTATCCTGCCTAAGTTCTCCAATGTGGTATGTGGCCCCACTGTTCTAGTGCCATATAACCAAGGGACAGAGAGATGCCTGATGTGACTGGGGCTCCATGCTTGAAAGGAGTAGGCAAGAAGTTTACCCTTTAAGTCAGGGGTTAGCACACCAAGGCCCAGGGCCAAAGCTGGCAAACCTGTTTTAATAATATTTTATTTGAATGATGACATGGCCGTTTGTTTAGTATTGTCTGAGGCTACCACACAGAAATGAGTGGTTGTGTCAGAGACGCTGTGACCTGAAAAATCCAAAACAGTGACAATCTGTCCCTTTCCAGAAAACATTTGTCAACCCTTGCTATTATTATTACTGCCTCTGGAAGGTAGGGATGGGCTTTAGAACAAATTAATGTGCAGAGTAAATTTTAGGTGGATATTTGAAAGTGTAGTTTTGATAGCTGGGTCACAGGCAGATTCAAGTCCTGAGGCCTTTAATGTCACACAGAAGAAAAGGATATACCAGAAATATTAACACCTAAATAAAAGAGCCTTAAAAGTAGCAAGAACAACAAAAGACATTTCAAAGTCCACTTGCGAACTAACCACAGCTGATGAAACGCTCCAAGGGTTCTGTGAGTTGGTGAGTAATCAGCAGACAGGACTCCAGTAGCTGATTCTCTACCTGGAGAGCAGTTGGACTAAGGAGGGTGAACTCTGTCTCACAAGTTTGCTGGGTGGGCTCAGCTGCACCTAAGTGTGCTGTGAATAATTCCAGGCCCCACTCAAAGCTGAGAAGAAGCATTGCAGAATTAGCTCTCAAGTCAGTTACTGGGTGGCACACTCAGTGATCAGTCAGCAACACAAGCCAGGGAGTCCTAGGTAAAAATACTGGCTCCACGTCAGAGCTGTGCAGGTGGCCCAGGTCACACACCTGCTTCTCACTTTGCCCACCTATGAAACAGTACCAGCTGCAGGGAGCGCATAGGTGGATGCATTTAATTAATGGATATAAAGTGGCACATTTTGAGCCTGGTGAAAGTAGAACTCTGATTATTACTTGCTTTTTTTCAGTGATTATCAGTTTCCCTTCATTGAAGGCTGGGCCCCTGGGGCCACTGTCTTATGTCCCCCACCCTCATTTGCTGTGAGACATGAACACAGGTGAGGCAGGCAATCTGAGTATCAATCTGGTGGCTTTGGATCCTCCGAGGCATCTCCTCTGAGGGAGCCCAAACTTAAGGCTCTAAATAAAGTCCCAGTAATGCCCTGGGTCATGGACACCTTTGTCATATAGAGTTGCCACTAACATGTGATCCCCTCCGGGATTGCTCTCCAGGGGGATCCAGCAGCTGGGTTTTTCCTATCAAACAAGGCCAGTCCAGTGGCAGCAAAGAGAACTCTGTTCAATGGTGATTTTAAATTGCTTTTTTCTTCTTCTGCCTTTGCAATGTTTCTGCTACTGTCATGGAAAAGCTAAATCAAAGGACAATGCCCTTTTATGAAGGTTTTGATTAGATTTCTCAAAGTTAAAGAGCTACGTTAAAAAAGAAAAAAATTCCTCGCTGGTTTTAGAATATGTTTTCCACAGACTAAGCTGACTATGGGGAGTGCTGTCTGCAGTGAAGCTTTGCTGGGAACCCCCTCCCACTGCCGCAGCTTTGGTGTGATTAGCCCTCTTTGCTTCTCAGTGTATGGTGGAGACACTGAGGCGAGGGGCTGTCTCTGTACCCTACTGATCACTGAATTTCCCTTCACCCAATGCAGCCAAGCACTTTGTAAATATAACAACACGTGTTTATGATCCAGGGGGCAATGGGCATCTCCTAAGGGCCTGTGCCAGTGTCTGGTATACAGGAGGCGTTTGCGATGAGCTCCCAGCATTCCTAGGTGAATGGAGCCTCTTCACCCTTAGACACCAAGCACACGGGCTGCTTGTGCTCGGCCACTCCCAAGGGCTGTGGAGGAGAGGTATGCTCCAGTTCTGCTGCTGACTTACCTGTTGAAATCTAGGTGAGTTCTCCCTATTACCCTGCAGCATCTTGTGCTCACATGCCTCCCAACAGGAAGGTGTGCTAGCTGGGTGGAATGATGACCAGCCGCGTGTACACTTCCTTCCCCTTCCCTGTCCATTTTTCTCCTTTGCGCCTCTTAGTATTTAACCTACTAAATATTTTACTTAGTTATCTTGTTTTTTCCTCCCAGTAAAATATGAGCTTTATGAGGGCAGGGATTATTTTTAATCTCCACAGCACCCATCTCACATAGTTGGTGCTTCATAAATAAATTCACCTGCTGCATGAATAAATGAGGAATGAATAAGTGAAATGAAAACCTTTCAAAGTAAAGGGACAGGTCATCAATTTACAAGATCAGCCTCTTAGACCAAAGAGAGTTTCTGTTTGGATTGTCTGCTGTTCTGGGAATCCTTGGCCTTTCTCCCATCCTCAGGGATCTAAATTGGGAGTGGACTGCGGTCGCTTCTCCTGCATCTGGGCCAGTTGCACTGTCACGGAGCAGTGACCTGTCCCTGGAAAACTTAGGGCCTGGGGGTGCAGGGCTGAATGTCTCCCTCCAGCGCAGTTAGCACTTAGGATGGGGCAGGTCACCAAGGAGGGGAGGAGGCGTGAGGGGACAGGCCATGCGTCCTTCTGCTTGTGGGGAATCAGTGTTCCTACAGTCGTAGCCACCCGGGTGTGCACATGGCATGGGTCTTCCCACTGTGTACATCAGTGCAGTGATAACTGTCGAACTCTTCTTTATAAGAACACATTTACACACAGGAGATCACACAACTGTGTGCACATATTTGCAGCTTGCTCTTTTCATCTAATGATGTATCTTAGACAGTTTTTTCAAAATTGCCCCTTTTAAGGAGTAGAAGCAGAGAATGACACAAGAAGCAGCATTTCCCCCAGTATATATATGATCAAGAACAGTAGCATTTCAGCCTCCCTGGATGGCCCTTTCCTCCTGTGACATGAATGTGGGGGTCAGGTGAGTGGGGCTGCTCTCAGTGGAAGAGGGCAGACCACAGGCTCCCCCGTCACAGAGCCTCCTCTTGCGGCAGGTTGAGCAGCCTGTCCAGGGCAGAGCTCCGGGACTCAGGGGCACACTTCCAGCAGGAAACAGACATGGGGATGGGGCAGCGCCCCAACTGCTACTGGAGGGTGATGGCAGCTGGGTCCAGTGCTCTGGCCCTGGGCTAGCACTGCGACAACAGATCCATTAAAAGGAAACAGAACCTTCGCCGCAGACAAACCAGAGAGAATAGTGGGGATATCGTCCTTTAAAAGAAATTAATGTTGTCTCCTTGACAAGCTACAGCCCTTCTGAGATAAAGAATTTTGAATGTTTAAAATTAATGAAAATATCCTCATTAAGCTTCACACACTACTAGACTCCCAAGGAGAAACGCTGGATTTGTCAGAAGTAAAATGAGGCCCTTTTAAGAGTCAAACAAAAGCAGTTTAGATCCCCCTGGGAATTTTCAGTTTTAAAAACGGGCCACACAGCTCTGGATAGGCAGTGGCTGCTAGCCTCAAGATGAGAGGTACAGTACTATGGCCCATGTGGAGAGGACATGGACACAGTCCGACCATGGGTCCATCACCACATAGGTCAAGGTGGGCCAGGATGTGAGCTGTGGAAACCAGTAGACCCTGATACTGAGAGTCTGAACCGATGGTATGTCTGACCTGCTTGTGCTGATCACAAAGGGCCAATTTTTAGCATCTCTTCTGAACTCTGCATTCCACTGGAAGCTTATAACTGGCCATGGTGGCTGTACTTATACCACAGAATCCAGCAAGTGCTACAATTCAGGTCTTTTTTCTCTAGAGGGCTTGTTGTTAACCTAAACACACCATTGGCCTTAAGCAGATAAACATGACAATGAATGCTTGGTTCCTTCTCATCTATAGCCCAATATATATGTTTCTCCCAGGGATCTTCTTGCTCAGGGATGTGGGAAACCAGGCTCTGCCTTTTTGCTGGTTCCATGATTACCAGGGCCTGGGGATCTTTGGGACCTCCCAGTCCTTTACTGGATCGCTTGAATTTTCTAGCCAGTGAGTGACGGGAGAGAACATGGAAGACACAGGATATGGGCCCAGCCTAGCTGGTGGTCACTGGTCTTGCCCACATTCCTTTGCCAGAGCTAATCACCTGGCCCCTGACTAGTTGTGATGGAAACTGGTAATTGCAGTTTTCTGTTTGTTCCAGAGGAGGAAACATGTTTGGTGAGCATGGAGCATTACCCCTGCCTGTGTGCCATGAAAAGGTACTAATTTCCTTTCTCTTACTTCTTTCTTCTTCATTCACCGTACAATGGTGAGTGCCTTCATATTTAAAATGGTCTGAAAGAGAGGAAAACAGACTTGGAACCCAGTGTGTTCAAAATCTGGCCCTAGTTACCCATGTGAGAGTGTGTGTGACTTCTAAAAGGAGAGCTTCCATGGTGAGAGCCGGCACTGGGCACAAGAAAGCCCCTGAGCCCAGGACACACCTGTGCAGGCAGGAGGCAGAGGCTAGAGCTTCTTCCTGGTCTACCATTTGCAGTAGTGACGAAAAGCTAGGCTATGCTGCAGTAACAACCCCCAGAGTCTCACAGGCCTGAAACAAGGCTTAGTTCTTACACCATGTGCCCAACATGGGAGGCTCTGCCCAGTGTAGTCATTCAGCAGCCACCATGGAAGCCGCTAACACCCAGAATGGAGTTCTTGGAGTCCCTGGGCTCTGGCCTTTAATGCTCCCTTAATTCTCCTGACTGAAGAGTCATGTGTCACCTCCACTCCTGGTTCACTGTTAGACCTGGTCACATGGCTTTGCTGGCCTAGAGGAACAGGAGGATTAAGCCTCTTTGTAGTCAGGAGCTGTGGAGAACTGAGTGTTGGTCCAGCCAGTGGAGTGCTCCAGGGTCTGGTCTCTGCCCCGGAGCAACAACCTTTGCTTAATCTCCATTCTTACCTTCCATTGCTCACAAGAGAACAGCTTCTCTTTACCTGTCACAACAAACACCAGAGATGGGGTGGCTTAAGTGGCAGAAATTTACTGTCTCACAGTCTGGAGGCTAGAAGTCCAATGGCTTCTTGAGGCCGCCTTCTCCCTGCGTCTCGTCACATGGTCTTCCCTCGCTGAGCATCTGTGTCCGTGTCCAAAATTTTCATGACACCAGCCATTGGACTGGAACCCCCTCCTCCAGTAGGACCTCATCCTAGCTAATTACTCTGCAACAACCCTATTTCTAAATAAAGTCACTTTCTGAGCTAGGAGAGGTAAGGGCCTAAATGTATGAATTGTTGGAGGCTGTACTGAATCCATAACAGCCAGAACGGTTCTTCACTGCAGCCCTGGCCATAGTGGTGGTGTTCAGCTCCTCCTTTCTTGACATGAGTCACATCCATATGCTGCCCTGGCCAAGACAGGAGCTGTCCTTCCTTCTTTGGGCCACTGTACCTCATGCACACCACTGTTACTCCACCTGTATCAAGTGGCAGTGTTTCAGTAATGGGTTATTGTCATTCCAGACTGTGCTCTCAGCTGTGGGACTGTTCCTCTCTGGAGCTCAGCTGAGTGCCTTGAACAACAGGAAACAATGTGCTCTGGAGGGTAAGAGGAGCCTCCATTCCTCTCAGGGCGCCGGCCCGGGGCTACAGACTAGAGACTTTCAGTGTTAGCAGTGAGGTGGCCGTGGGGATCTAATGGCAGGTAAGCTGAGCCCATGGCCAGTATAAGGCCATACTGTGTTCTAACAAAATTCAAAACACACAGGGACAAGGGGAGGTCAGAAGACAAAAAAGTAAATGGGCTCTATTTTGCTTTGTTTATTAAAAGCAGTGTCGTGTGAAAAAGGAAATCTCTTAAGAGATTTTTAATAGCAAAATACCTAAACCCAAAAAATGTTTTATGATAGCATCTAAATCCAGATAGGTTTTTATTCTATCATTTTGCTTCAAACCGTAAAGGAATGAAAGACAAAAAGAAAGGTTAATAATTAAAATCCAGGAAAAAACAGATTCTGGGTTTGATAAGCACTGGAAGTGGACAGCTGCACTGCTACGTGAGGCTGCCTGCCTGGTGATGGCTTTTTTTTTTTCTTTTTTCCTTATTTGTCAATAATAGAAACATTTGTTCTTGGTCAGGAAAGTTCTGAATATGCAAAGTCCCCACAAGAAGAGATATTGTGATCACACGCATCAGCAGTAGGATTCTTAATAAAGACAATTCTAAGCTAGAGAGGCTCTTGGTAATTAATTCTGGGGCTGAGAGGCACTCATCGCTGGGCATAGACTCCACTTTCCTAGTCTTTTAGGAGAGGGAATTACAGGGAGAAGCAACAGGCTTGTTCTGTGAAGCTGCATATCACAGTGGCTTTCTTGAGCATAGGGAAAAGAAAACATGCTTCCTTTCTCATTCAGATAACAGGGATGGCATTCCCACTGGATTCTGAGTCCATTTTTCCCTTCTCAGAGTTTCCTCCCAGGACAAATCCAAGATCCCAGGGGCCCTCCTCAGTTCAGAAGGTCAGGCCTGAGTGGGAACAACTGCACAAGAGGAGGCAAGCCATGCAGTTTCTGCAGGATGCGTGTCCCCTGCTGTCAGTGCTGACCCCTTCAGGTGGGGCTGTCCCTTGAGCCTGGGCATGGCTGGCCACCCTCAGGGGACCCTTCAGGAATTAAGGCTGACCCTGGTCACTTCCTCTTTGGTCCAAGGCTCTCCGGGTGCAGGAGAGGGCGCCACTGGCCAGGTGCAACTCCCACCCAGTGCTCAGTCCTAGTGATTCCGGCTTTCTGTAACCCCGACGCTGTTCTCCTGCACACACACCCATTTCACAGGAACAGCCAAGCCAGGAGGGCTTCCAGTGACAATGGCACATCTGGGTTATGACCAAGAGCCCAGCCGACCTGTTTGTGAGTGGGGGTGGTGCAGGGTGATGGGGTATGAAGTTATGCCTGCTGTCTGCCTCCTGGCCTCAGCTAGGCCTGGAGCAGAACTCTGAACTTCAAAGGTCCGGATCTATCTGGCAGCAAAGGCCAGGGTCTCCTTTGGTGAATTTATCTCCCACCATCCCAGCAGAGCGGGCGGTAGACTCAAACTTTCATTGAGTCACTGCAGGGCCCTCTGGCTTGGTGGCTTCCTTGAAAAAGGTTTGCTGTAGGGTTTGCTTAACCTCCGCTGGCTAGAAGCAAGCACCAAGTCAGTCCCACCAGCTTCTGTGTCTGTGACATCCTGCACCCTCTACATTAGAGATATTGAGGTTTCTCTATCATTTCCTCAAAGATATTTTTAAGTTTCAATTTTATTTGTCAAGCAAATGTCTGAATTTTATACAAAATGACTGATAGTTTCTTTGTGACATTTCTCCTATTGCTTTTATTGTAGAAAACTTACAGGTTTTCTTTTCACTCATTTTTCTGATACATGCAGTTTATTTTTGCCCGTAATGGGTAGTGAAGACCCAATAGCTTTTTTCCCAAAAAGCTAGCCAATTTTCATGGTATGAAAAGCAGAATATTTACCACTACTCCACTGATTTTTGTTTAACCCTCGGAGTACATGGGCGATGGTACCCCTTGAGAAGGCGTGAAGGTGAGGGCCAAAGCAACTGAGGGGTGGCAGAGAAGACAATGCCAAGAAGCAGCTCCCTCACGGTGACCTCATTTGTTGGCATCGGAGCACAGACTCAGCAGCTCTGGCTCCTGCCTCCCAGTCACTCGGACTGACTCTGAACTTAGGCCAACCAGGATCGTAGCAGTTGCTGACTAAGTGCCCTAAGCAGGTTACCCCTGGAATTCCTAGGAACCTTAAGATACTGCCTTGTTTTCCTTACTAGGTGGTTGACTGCACCAGGACAGTGGTCATGTCTGAGTCACCTCCACAACCTCCCCAGCAGGTGCAGAGTGTGTCTTGCACAGGTCGGGTGGCCTGTGAAGTTTGTCAAGGCCAGGCTGAGCTGGCTGGCTCTGCCCACTGCTGCTGGCAGCTGTGCTCTGCAAGCAGTGAGGAGGGCATACGCGCTTGCCCACAGACTGTCTACGATGCTTGCATCCTTCTCACTGTTCACCTTCTATCTTTGTGTCCTCCACTTGGAGGACACCATTCTAGCATCAGTATCGGGGGAGAGAACAGTGAAGTTGGCACGGGGTAGGGGTGGTGCGTCAGGTCTCCCACTGCAGGATTCGAGGTAGCTGGTGCTTGGCTGGAGCCTCACTTACAATGTGAAGATTACAGGTCAGCTATGCGTGGATTTCTTTTCCTTTCACTAGGTAACAGCTAAAGCAAATGAATTTTTGCATTCAGAAAAATTTGGGATGAAAAAATGGAGATATTATACATCATTAATGGGATTGTTTTCTAATACATCAGAACTGTGTGTACTTTACATGTATGTTTAATACATGTGTGTATTTATACATATATCTATATACACATAGGCAATATATATCAAGTACATATACTTACTTTACAATTGCTATAGTTACCACACATGATCAAATAAACTATTTCATTCTCTCTAGGGAGGGATTCAAATGCGGAAAACCTGCCTATTTGTTAGCCACTTAAAGGGTGACTTCTGTTTGATTATATCATGATAGCATCCAGGAATTGTTAATCTTTCAAAGCAGTACGAGCTATTACAGAAAATTTGAGGAACAGCAGAAAAGAGGAACAAAGGCAGAAGCACCCGTACTGAGTGGATCACCACTGTTTTAAGGTTTAAGCTCCAGTGATGGAGTCGGTGTGTGAGGATCCGCCTCTGTGGAAGAGGGCTCTACACAAGACCGAGGAAGAGTGCCCGCAGAGGCCTCCCCATGCCACTGGGAACCCCTCAGCCGCCTCTGGCTGGCTGGGCCTGGCCTGCCTGCCGGGCCGGGGTTCCGCTGCCGGCACATCCCCAGTGCGGTGGGAAACTGCGCGTGCCCCTCTCCATCAGGGAGGCCTCTGGCTTCCAAGCTCACTGGAGGCTCCAATAGCCCAGTGCCCCAGTAAGCCGTGCCTTTCTTTCTCTTTTTGTTCCCAGACAGGAATCATTTCCCTCTATGACTGTGTTTTTAACAAGAACCCAGGTTATAATCAGAAATTGCACCGAGATGACAGAGAACATGCAAAAAGCCTGGGACTTCATGTTAATGAGGAGGTAACGTTAAGGCAGACTCCTGACAAGGTGGCAGTGTCACCGTGTGTGTGTGTGTGTGTGTGTGTGTGTGTGTGTGTGTGTGTGTCGTTACTACTGTGTCCCGTTTGCTGTATGCAGCTCTCCTCTGTGCTGGAAGGTTACACTAAGCTCAGTCTGTTCTGCCATGTTACTGGGCAGTAATTGTATGACTGTTGTTCAGTTCTATAGAATTTAATTATGCAATGAAAGCACAGCTAAGAAGTTTTTTCAACAGATAAAAGAGGTTTTTGCTACCGAGTCCTGGTTGTCACGGTCCCTCTAGGGCCACTGTCACAGTCCCTCTAGGGCCACTGGCCTTCTAGGGATGAAACCACCTGCTCCAGAGTGATCTCCCGAGCTGAGTGGCAGACCACAGTGACCATCACATAGAGCACAGCTCCCCTTGACCTTTCCAGGGGACATGGGAGGCATGGGGGACATGCATTTGGGAGAAAAAAGGAGGCTGGAGGGACGAAAGCCTGGCAGGAGGAGGCAGGGAGGGGCCAGGGGAGAGAGAGAGAGAGGTCAGAGCAAGGTTTTTGCCTTTCCTCTGAACAACCTGAGGACCTTGGAGGGCTCTGAGCAGGGGACGGAGGCCCACGTGGTTCAGCAGATCCTCCTGGTGTTAAGAAGTCCAGGTAGAGTAGGATGCTGGGGAAGGATGCAGGATGAGGGGGGCAGGACGGAGCAGGATGCAGGGTGTCGGGAGGCAGGCAGCAGGGGACAGGAGGCGGCTGGGAGCCCTGGGTCGCCGCATGCTGATGAGTGCGGTCACCCTGCAGGAGCACGAGAGGCCGGTCGGGCTGCTGTCGTCGTCCGTGCACGGGAGGCGCATCCACCAGCCGGTGGAGCCGCTGGACCGGGACCACCAGCGCGTTAAACACGTGCAGGCAGACTTCTACCGCAAGAATGACATCCCCAGCATCAAGGCGCCCGGTTTCGGGCATGTGTCCCCTTCCTGACGCCCACCGCGGTCGGGTCCCTCGGGCCACGCAGGCGCCGGCGGATTGGAGGCGGCGGCAGCGATGGCCTGCGGGCACCTCCACCCTCGGGGCAACCACGCCTGCGGGGCGAAAACGGCAGAGGACATGGCGCGAGGGCAGGTCCGCTGTTAGCGCCAGAATAAAGTGAAAACTGTTCCCCCTTGAGGGTGGTCTGGTTCAGTTTTGTTTGTGGCCACTCCACGTTTGCAAGACTCTTTGGGGGAGCGGTGAGCAGTCCCTTTTCTCAACCGTTATGCATACTGCTACTGGCTGAAAAATGGACAATACTGCTTTTCAAACTCTCTTCGAGAGGCGATGGAATGAAGCCGCCTTTTGGCACAGTTGAACCCTAGATACTACAACATTGCCCACCAGAAGTCCCAGCTGCACATAACAGAATTTTGCACCATGGAGGTCAATAGTCCTAGTAAGAATGGGTGGCCTGGGTGGTCAGCAATGCTGCTGTCACTCCTCAATTAGGAAGCAGCCAAAGGTCATGCAAAGAGAGGACTTGGAGGTTCAGCAGACTTGGGTAAAAGTCTGGCTCCTGCATTTTCCAACTGCATGGTGCAGGGCAAATTATTTCACCTGTTTGAGCCCACATGTCCTCTCTATAAAGTGGGAGTTGTGAACTGTGGAGTTTGTTTGGGAATCATTTACTTTTTGTGTGGTCATAATTTATTCAGTCACCATAGGGGCTGTGACGGTTAGTCGGGGCAGTTTTCTTTCTGGAAGCAGCTGCTTTTAACCTAGGCTGGAAATGTTTACTTTGGAGATGATTTGAAACATACTCAAATATTAAGATGTTGACTATATTTTTAATGAGTGGATCCCTTGGAAGAAATCATCCCTCCTGCATGGTGATTACATTTCTCACTGCTTAGCAGTTAGTGGGCAGGTGACCTAATTAAGTTCAGTACTGATCCTCCATCGCTGGTTTTAGTGTTTGGATTCTCTAAGGACTTATGACACTGAATTGCTGGCAATTTCAAGGCTGAGTGACTCTTAAATATTTTATTCTTTGGAAAATGTGTTTTCACTGTAGATGCCTTTTATCTTCACTTTTGTCCCCAAATAGCAGCAGTTTGTATGGAATGCCTTTGGGTGCATTAAGCCATATTTATACTAAAATAGTCAGGAATATACATAAGTTTGGATTTTGGAAATCCTTATAAATTACTCTCTCTTCATTCTAGATTACCAAGAAAGACAAAGCATCTTTAAGAAAAGGCTTCATCTGAAAGTCACTGCAATAAATTGTCAAACTAAATCATTTTCAGTTATTTTAAGTCAGATCCAACTCCCTTAACGTTCCACTACTTTTGAAAAGCAGGGCCTTGGTGGTATTATGTTTAGTACACATGGTGTCGGGGATCAAGGGGAGAACAGTGTAGCACAGAGAAGGCACATAGTGGATCTGTGGCACCTTACTACACTGATGGACAGTGACTGCAGTGGGGTATGGGTGGGGACTTGATAATATGGGTAAATGTAGTAACCACATTGTTTTTTCATGTGAAACCTTCGTAAGAGTGTATATCAATCATACCTTAATAAAAAATTTAAAAAAAAACAGCAGGGCCTCAGTGGGGCAAGGTTTCAAAAGATCTCATTTGTCAGGCAGCGAGAAAAAGTTCATTGTATTTCTCTCAGCATCTCAACTTTTACAATCTGAAGTCAACCAGTGAACGCCCGCTGGTCATCTTAGCAAAGAGAGGCATCTATTAAGAGAATTTGTTTGGAATCACAAATTTCCACCATTACTCAATGTTTCTTGGGAAGCAGAGTGCTTGCTGTCTTGGGAAAGCACATTGAGTTGGGAAAAAAGAATAACATGGAGGATTCATGACAGTGGAGGCATTTTTAAACAGAGGTATGAAAAATATTTTCATCTTAAGGGGACTGTACTCCAAGTGGTTTTCATGACGGCTTCCTACAAGATTTATAGGTCAATGAGGAAGCCTTTGAGGAGACATGGGCTGACAGAAGAGAACAGCCAGGCCTCATTTGCATGATTCACTCAGAAATGTTTGCAGTTGCCGGAGTGTTGGGAGCTTTGCCCAGGAGCCAGATTTCAGGGAACTTCCAGATTTTAGGGAACAGGCAATTTTCCACTCTAGTTTCATCTTGGTCACTAATCAACTGGGAAACTTTGAACAAGCCTCTGGGCCTCTTTGCACCCGTTTTTTCATTTGTCAAAAGCAGGGCAGTCTCAGACTTGATCAGGGATCACAATCACAGTGGCGGACTTGTTACCCAAACACAGTGAGTGTGGGTGGAGGGGGCCCACTGCCAGGGCTTCCCACCTGGCACATATGCATGGGGCCTGAAGATGTGCCTTTCTAACAAGTCCCCAGGGGATGCTGACACTGCTGGTTGGGGACCACACTTTGAGAGACCATGTATGCACACACCTCTGCCAGGTGAACTCTGATAATGACTTTGATTGTTTTAAAAAGTCAGTCGCTTGGGAAGACTGATGAAACAGCTTGGGGAAAAAAATAATTCTCCTTCTGAGTTCTTTCCACCAAATTGACCACATCTCAGGGAAGGAGGAGAGGGCCATGTTTAGGAGTGCTTGGCCAATCAACCAGCTGTGGGCATCTACTAAGGAGAGGTGACATAAAGTGCCATGTGATGGGTGTGCCGGAGGCTTTAAGGGAGGAAGCGCTCACAGGCGCAGTGGCCGATCACTGTTGTGACAGCTGCACAAGGCTGGCTTGGAGTCACTGAAACCCTAGTCCAGATTTCAGGTAGAGTGAAATGTCCTTACATTTTTCTTCTTTCAGTCGCCTTTTTGGAGAATCAGGTATATCAAGGAAAATGCTAAGCTGCAATTAGCAGATCAAAAATTCCTGACTGAGGCAAACAATTGAACACATGCTGTATTCCACTTCAATGATGAAAGCCAGTTATTAGTTTTGATAAGTGCTTTTAACTTAGTATGAATCAAGGTCCTGGCACGGCAGCCACGTTGGTGCTGCGAATATGCTGAGGGGTTAAGCCCTGGGTACCAGTCAGGCTTTTTAATAGTCGCTAGCTTTTCAGCGGTCACAGACCTGATCCTATGAGCTAACAATCAGGAGAATACTCCTAAGAAAAACTGAGAGATGTGTTCAAATTCACACAGGAGTAAAAATTCAGAGTCAAGAATCAAACTGAGGCCTCACACTTCAAGTGCAAGTTCCCAGGAAAAAGCTGTTTCCTGCTAGACCACTGGGGTCCTCTACCTCTTATGATTTATGACATGATTTATGAAAATAAACCAAGTTTGCCCAACCACACTGGCACTGGGAACTTTGCTTTTAAACATTAAATTATTCACAATTGCTCTATTTTTATTTACCCTTTGGCACAGTATGGTTTCTTTACATGAAGATAAATCCCAAAACTGTAGAGTTGGATTTACAAAAATGAAATTTCCAAGGTCTTCATCTTCAGAAAGGCATAGACATCTGCTCTGTGCCTTCTTAAACTTCCTCAGACATAAGAGGCAGCTTATGGGGCTTGGCACCATCTCCTGGTTTGTTCAAACTACTGTGACTGCTGACTTACATCATTCCAAATTACGTTCCTGCAGGCTGTGTGAAAGTTCTTCCAAAGTACTAAGGTAGATGGAGTATTCAGACAGAGTGCTGTTGCCAGCAGAGAATCGTTTTACTGTTAAAATATTTCTCCTAGAGAATGTGCTGTAGCAATGCCAAAATGAAACCTGGACCACATGACACACTGAGCACGCTTTCTTTCTGGCCCAAAAAACTGCATAATCAAGTACACACATCACTGTAAAAAATATGCATCATCAACCAGAAGTTGCATAATCAATGATCCCAAACTTTGTCCTGATCTGAATATACTTAAGAACATCTCCATCTTAGCTTTAGGAGAGCCCTTTCTGAAACAACTGTCCAACGGGAGAATGAACAGTAAACAAACCTCAGTTCTGGGGCAAACCGCAGGGGAAAGGAGGAGCAGGGAGAAAAGATATAAACTGCAAACTAAAGTACATAAACTTTTAATGAATTAACCTTACAAAAGACAATGGCATCAAACATCAGACGCGTTTGGTACAAAACTGTTCCTACGTCATGAGAACTAATGGTGGTGATGGAGGGCAACGTACTGCTAGCATGAGACACGACAGAGCAAGGTGACAGCACCACGGATCCCAGCCGGGGCCGCGCTTGGTCACTGGCCATGAGGCAGGTGGTGAACACAGTCACATTCCATGTGGGGTGACAGAATCAACATATTCACAAATACTGTGTGTTTTAGTATCAGACTAGCGGATGCGGCTGGCGAGCTACCATATTTTCCAGAGAATAACATGCACCAGAATATAATATACACCTCCTAGTTTTATTGCCATAAGAATGTTTGTTTGTTTCACCTCTATCATTTCTGTTAGTTCTCTGAATTCCTTTCTCCTAGAACACACACGCCTTTTCCTTCTGCTCAGGAGTAAGCACAGTGCGAGCGGCAGAGCGATCTTGGCACACATCAGACACCAAACGGTATGCCACCAGGTCGCAGGAACGAGTCTGCAAGGCTCCATAGGACAGAACAGAGCACGTACATCAAAAACGAGGGACACAAGTTGCAGTCAGAAAGTGCATTGTACCTTCCTGAAAATACAGTCTTCTAGCCAAAACGACGGCAATTCTTCAGGATGCCAAATTGCTCTGGGAAAGGGATCGTGACATTTCTGTGTTTACAAAGTACGTTTTCAGCTCCCCCTTGCCCTTCACATTGATGACGCCTCGGCACGTGCATGTGTACCCCAGTGCCTGTAGGATGAGGCTCGTCTCCTCGGTGACCTAGAAGCACATTGACAAATGAAGAAGTGGTTAGTGCCTCTGTCAGCAGGACACCTTTGAAAGGTCATTGGACTATGAGGATAAAGAACCAAAAATGCTCATGTTCTTCAGCCCATTCATTGCACTCCTGAGAAATTAGGAGAGAAAATAATCCATGAGAAGAGAAGCTCCTGAGGCCAGTGTTTAATTTAGTGCTGTGAGAGTGAAAAACTGGAAATGACCTCAAAGTCAAGGGATCTCCAGGGTGAAGTAAACTCAGTGCTGTCATGACTAATATTGTAGATGAGATGAATAACTTCTTTTCACCCCAAAAAAGAATTAAGCTTGGATCCATGCTGATTTCAAC